TATATATATATATATATATATATATATATATATATATATATATATATATATATATATATATATATATATATATATATATATATATATATATATATAACCTCTTAGCCCAAGCAATCACGGCCAAAAAAAGTACAACACAAAGACTTCCCGAGATCACCCGTCATAGTATTATTCTTGTCCAAGCACACTTAACTTTAAAATTATGATGGGATCCAATGCTTTAGTGTTAGTATGATCGCATCAATAATGTTTGTGTCGGATAGAATCTGGTGCTTTAGTGTGTTGGTATGATCACATCCATGTGTCGTCCTTTGGGTTGGGCAGAGCTCCTTGCATGAGTCGTGCGTGTCGTTGGCTCGACTCGGACAACAGGACTTCCCAAGGGATCACCCATCCTAATACTATTCTCGTTCAAGCATGCTTAACTTTGAAGTTCTTATGAGATCCAATGCTTTAGTGTTGGTATGATCACAATCATGTTGCAATTGTCATCCGTCGCTTAAGTGTCGTGTGACGATGGGATGAGCAGGGCCCCTCCGTCGCCTAAGTGTCGTGTGACGATGGGATGAGCAGGGCCCCTTGCGTGGGTCTCATTGGCACAAAAAAAAGTGTAACACGAGAACTTCCAAATGGGTCACCCATCCTAGAACTATTCTCGCTCAAGCACGCTTAACTTCAAAGTTGGAATTCGATATTTTAGTGCTAGTATGATCACATCTATGTTGTGAGTGTCGTCCATCACCTAAGTGCACGTCGCAGGCAGTGATGGGATGGGCGGAGCCCCTTGCGTGAGTCGCACACATCGTCGGCTCGACCTAAAACCATTGTAACTTTCTCGAACAATCTCGGAATCGCTATTGCGACCCCAATTTGGAAACCTCTCCTCGAGCCCCACGTGGCTGACTGTGAAGTGGTCACAAAAAATTCCAAGCCTGAAAAACATTGCCTTAAAGGTCTACGGTAGAGGTTTTCGTCACTCGAGCGCAAAAAAGAAGTGCAACACAAGGACTCTCTCCCAAGCACACTTTATTTCAGAGTTTTGATAAGATCTAATGCTTTAATGTTGGTATGAGCGCACTCGTGCTACTTATATCGTTCGTCGTCTTAGTGCACGTCGTGGCCGACGATGGGATGGGCGAAGCCCTTTCGTGGGTCATACGCATCGCTGGCTCGATCCCGTCACACGAAAACCATCATAACTTTCTCGTACCATATATATACTCTGGTTATGTAATTACTATCGGTCAATAGTTATTTTATATTTTAACATCATATTTTTAGTTCACTAATTGTGGACTAAAATGTTAACATCTCTATTATGGTATTAACATATATGTTGTATTTAAATTTGGAGTGTCATTGTCGCTGGAGGTAATGTATATGTAATTGTGACCAAAATAAAAATACGATGATACAGATCAAACAGGAAGAGGAAAGAGGGGATAGAGAATGCATCGCGCTCCCTATAGGATTTGCTCTCGTGTTGAACAAGTAATCTTGTAAATGTAAATGATGAGCCAACTAAATAAACCCTGACACGAGATTGAAAGAATATTCGAGTTTGATTTGACTTATTTTAAGTCTTAACTTGGTTTAGGCTTGACTCGTCTGTAATTTATTCATTATAATAAATAAGTTGAGTTAAAGCTCATGTATAAAACGAGTCAAACTAAAAAAGATTAAAAAAATCAATTTAATAAATATAAGTTACAATAGTATATCATGAAAATGAACATATGTATAGCAAAAAATAATAATATTAAGTATATTCTATAAACATTTTGACTTTAAATGCATACAGTTTATAATTCTTCAATATGTAAACATATGATCACCTTCAACATTTCTTTTAGATTTCTGATAAAGTTTGTGTATATATATAACATCATGTTAATTGAATTCTCACTGTTCAAAATTTATGTAATGTAATTCTAAATCAAAATTCCTAAATCTTGAAACATAAAAAACTTGTTAAGTTGGATTTTATTTGTTTGAGTTAGATGTTCACGATCTTTCTCCTTCAGTTGATGCTAGTTGTTTCTATCGTTATTTACCTTCAAATCATATCGTAAGACTATGTTGAGAGCATTCTCGACAAGACCTATCCAAAACATAAGTCGTTTACTCCGGACTTCAAATATGGTCATCTACTAGTTATGAAAAAAAATAATGTGTCTCTTTCAAACTTAATTGTGATCATGATGCGTTGAATCCAAGAGATGTAACACCCCCAATTAGTCCCACATCGTAAAATTAAGATTGGCTTATAAGGATTTGATGAGTATATTATTATCAACTTCAGTTTTAATATTTTGATTAGTGGTTTAGACTAAATGAAGTTTATGGGTCAGTTAGCTCATCAGGCCAAGATCGTGACATTTAGCATTTTCTTAGTATTTGGGTATAATAAGAGGGCTCGAGTATGAAAGGACTACCCGTGAATAGACTTGAATCAATAAGTGACCTACTTCGGTTGGTCAACACTAAGGCTCGTCCATCCTAATCCCGATGAATAAAAAACCTATACCCCCCAAACCCTATTTCAAATGCTAAATCCTAACTTTAAAATTTAAATCCTGAAATCAATACCTTAAGACCTAAACCTAATAAACCTTAAATCTAAAACTCTCAAACACTTAAACTCTAGCAATTCCTAAATTCTAAATGCTATACAACGAATTGTGGACATGAAACCCGAATCCTAAATCCAAAAACCCTAAACCCGAACTCGTATTCCCAAGCCTTGAGGGGAAAGGATAAACCGATCAACGATGCTGGTCTTCGGGTGTACCGGCGGCGGCTGGTGCGCTACACATGCCTTGGGATCGGCGGCTTCGGCCATGGCTTCCTCCCCGTTTCTTCGCATCGCCCCTACCCTTCACCTCCGACGCTGTTGCAGGAAATTCTGGTGCGAAGAGCCCAAGGAGGGCACGACGAATGGGTGGACGAGGAGGAGGTCGACGAGTGCGGCGCAGCGGAGCCCCGACGTGGTTGAGGTGGAGTACGCTGACCTCAACCTCAAGAATTTCTACGGCGCCGCTCCTAATGTATCCCGATTCCCCTTCCTATTCCAGACTCTCTTTTCCCTCCTCTATTTGCGTTTTCCTCTTGATGGAACATTCCGTTCTTCTATGGCAGTTAGGTCACATTCGGATTCGACAACATGTGAATCCCCTCAGTTCTTCTTTCGCTGTGAGTGTTGATCACTCCACCTGTCAAATCTTCACGTCCGAGTTCTTTGTTTCTCCTTTATTATCTTTCTTTCTGTTTTTGATTATGGGGTGAATCACAGACACCAGTGGAGATTCCGGTATGGAAGGAAGTTTTCAGGGATCCGTCGCTCCCGTTGATGGTGGATATTGGTAGTGGTATGAAGTCGTTCTCTGTGAGAATAAATGGCATGGTCACTATATCTGTTTCGTTTTCCTCCTCATCTAATAAGATGCCATGGTCTTTGCTTGTTGCTTCCCGTTTGATGTGAAAAAATTACGAGTATTTCTGATTCCCAAAAGTTTCTAATGATGATGACGATGAATCCTTGCAGGCAGTGGTAGATTCCTTATCTGGCTTGCTAAAAATTGCCCCGAAAGAAGAAATTATCTGGGTCTGGAGATACGTCAAAAGGTTCTAAAAGCTACTGCTTAAGCTATCTTCATCTGATTCTTCCGTAGTAATATGGTGGTCTTTTTGCTGTTAATGTAGCTAGTGGAGCGGTCACAGTTCTGGGTCGAAGAATTGGGTCTTGCAAACATGTGAGCTCTTGTGTATAAAATCACCTGCTCGCACATCATTCAAATGAAGGATTGTAAGCTACCTGTGGAACTAAAAGATGTTCATTTTTTGAGCAGTCATTTTATGTTTGCCAACGCCACGGTATCCTTCGAGCCACTGGTTTCCACCTATCCTGGACCTCTTATGCTGGTCTCCATACTGGTGAGCTTTACCTAAGTTAGTTTTCCCATTTTAGAATTTAACAGGGAGATTATTCTTGATACTGCAAACTCAGGCTCTCTGTCACTAGTTTGAAGTGAGACAGGTTTTTCTTTTTTGCGTAATGCAGTTGTTTCTTTGTCTTGAATATGACCAAATTTTGGGTTTGATTGAGAGCTTATGCCTTCATTCGATCTTGCAGTGCCCGGACCCTCATTTCAAGAAAAGGCATCACAAAAGAAGAGTTGTACAGGCGAGCTTAGTTGATTCTATCTCAAAAAGGTTGAGCATTGGAGGGCAGGTATGGCTCGCTTAACTTGCGCTTCTATTCTATTTGAGTTCGAAATACATAGCCGGCACAGATATATAAAAATCAAAATTTTCTTCCAAATTATTGAATTGGCGGTGTGCTGACTTATACCAGGGATAAGCAGAACATCTTTCTTTTTCCTTCCATTGTTAAAGTTAAGCACTTTCAGAAAAATCATAGCTAGGTCAATTTTTTCCTAAAAAGTTGGCCTTGCTGATTACTCTTCAAGGGTAAAGCATCACCTTAAGAACCATAAAGGTTGATGAAATAAGAGAATTTATTTGTTTTCTTTGTTATCAATCTGCTTGTTAAATGGCCGACTTTTTAAACACCAATGGTATGTCCATGTAATTTTGCTAGTTCTACCTAACTATTCTGGTGAAGTTATTGACTGGTAGGTACTTCATTGGCTTCTGATGTCTGTATTCACCACAAGATGACAAGTCAAATAAATTTTGATGCAGTTACAAATTGCTTTCACGTAATTTTAATTTTCAGAACCCTCTTCATTTTTCAGGTAGCTTAACAATAATTTTTTTTTTTTAATTTTCGGGAGGATAGTGGAGGAGGGAGGTGAAGGCAGTGAACCCTTACATACCAAAAAGATCCAAAATCATCATTGGATAGGATATGATACAACTCCTTAGAAAACACATCCTTCAGATCACTGCATCACTAGCAGCCTGCTAACTCGTCCGACCCAATCAGCTAAGTCAGCTGCACGATTGCCTTTGTGCAGAATCTAAATGGGACATCTGAAAGTGTGAATTTCATTTTTTATGTTAAGTGACAAGCTGATAATTACAGAGAACCTGCCATCGCATCAAGTCAGAAGGTGATAGACATTATATCTCATGAATATTGCAAACTTTAAGAACAATTATGTTTTTTTTTTCTATCTCATTTGTTGGCTTACTTATTCATTGCTGGGTTGCTCCCAGTGTTTCCGTTTAAATGTGGGAGTTAATCCTCTATTTTTTTCAAAGCTTTTTGAACTTGTTTGCGCTTCGATATAGCAATCTTATCACTTTTTGTAGGTCTTTGTGCAATCAGATGTGCTTGAATTGGCATTCGACATGAGGAACCAGTTTGATGCTTGTTTGGATGTATTCGAGCATGTCGATACCATCGACAACAATTTTTTATGTGACACCCAAGGATGGGTGCTGCACAACCCCATGGGTATACGAACAGAAAGAGAGATACATGCAGAGCTAGAAGGTGCTAGAATCTACAGAAGGATATACCAAAAACAAAAGCATTGTATTTAGCCAAAACGTATGATCGATTGCCTTATTCCCCTGCCAAGGTATTTAGTCCTCTAATTCATCCATTTATATCCCTTCGAATTTACCAACCGTAACTATGCACTTCATGTGCTTTTACAGGGCATGAGATTTCGGTGATGGCGAGCCGAGGAACCATGCACGAAAATTGAAGGGCATGCCAATTCTTCCTGATGCAAACATGGCTTATGCTTCAGCAGGTTGGCGACATTATCGGTCAACGACGTTTGAGAGTTACTGTTACAAAGCAGAATTTTTAGCTCGATTAGCAGTATGTCCTGATTCCTTTTATGAGACAAGCAAACCATGGCTCCTCGATAACATGAGGATCGTAGTACTTGTGCGGAAAATTGTATACAAGAATCGATGATTCCTAATATATTTAGAATGGGGAGTCTGGCATTATTTCCGAGTTTACTGATCATCCGATTGTTGTTATTATTATGGAAACACATGAAGTAAAACAGGTGAGGGATAGGGATGTGAGTTAGAGAGAGATGAGCACAAACATAGCTATAAGCTATAGATATATATATGGTGTTTGCTGAGAGCATGTAGATTGTGACAGACCATGCAGTGTGCAACTCTTAAATCTCAACTTCTCTGTTAAAGATCCAACTGAAGGGCACCATGCTGGTCTTCTTCTCCGCCCGTTCCTGAGCTCTCTCTTCCGTCTTGCGAAGCCTGCTAGGCAGACTGCAGACATAGTCCTGAGCCCGTCTCCCCTCCCCCGACAACCCCGTCACTTCCCCAACCTTCCACCTCTCCACGAAGAACTCCACCACGTCCCCGTAGTCCTTGCTGGTATACACCCCGAGCCGCTGCGCGACGGAGGAGTAGTGGCGGAAGATGTCCCGTTCCTGCCCATCGAACATGAACCGAGCAGGCATTTTGATCCTCTTCCTCATCATGTCCGCCAACGCCAACATGGTCGCCTCCGGATCGACCTCGAACAGCTTCTCCACGATCTTCGTGTACGCCATCTCGTGGCGCTTCTCGTCCGCGGCGATCAGCCCACAGATCTTCGCCAGCAGCACGTCGCCGTGCTCCTTGGCTTTCCTTGCTGTGTTTCCGTGTGAGATGAAGGTTGCCCTCTCTTGGAAGGACGTGTACACGAAGCCACGATACGGATCGTTGTCTGCCTCTATCATCTGTCCAAAACACAGACCAAGTAGTGGTTACTACCCACCCCGTCACCCTGCGTGCAACGTAGCCTTTTTGGCTCAAACCCTTACCATGCCCGATCCGATCAAGTACTGTATCGTCTTCTCGATCTGCCGCATGTTCAACCTCCCGCTCAAGTACAGGTACTTGTTCAGGACGTCGCCGTGGCGGTTTTCTTCCGCCGTCCACTTCCTCGTCCACCTCGCCCACGCCGTCATGCTCGCCCCGGTTTCGTCCCGGGTGCCGTCGAAAGTGTTGAGGACGTTCTCGTAAGTGGGCAGAGCTTCTTCGGTGATCATGTTGCCGACGAGGCAGACATAGTACGCGTCGGGGATCTCTGCCGCCCGCTCACGGATCTCCTTTATCCCATCCAAGAAGCCTTCCCCCGAAGGATCCGGCAGGAAATCCTGAGGCTGCCATGAGCTCTCCACCGGCTTCAGGAACGTCAACACGTTATCCTCCATCCATCCCTCCATAGATTTAACGACCTCAAGCTTTTCCGGACTAATGGCACGTACAACAGTCTTCTTCTTCTTCTTCTTCTTGTTGATCCTGCAACAACAACAACAACAACAATAGTGACAACAGCGAGTGTAGTCATCGGTAATCAAGGTCTGCCGGAAAGCAAGTCTCACCCGGCAAGCATGGCAAAGTGGCTGGGTTTATAGGAGGAAGGAAAAGGGGGAAGTAACACAACAGTGGAAGACTTTGGACCGCAGCCATGAAGGAAACAAGAAGGGCTCAACCTTAAGGCCATTTATCTTGCGATCGAGCGAGCAGGCACTGCAATTCGTAGGAGATGAGATGAGATGAGATGGTGCTGTGCTGCAGAGGAGGAAGCCTCATCATTTATAGAGGCCACAAACTGAAACAGTGCAACTATGCTTTGATGTTTGAATCCTTTTGTCATTATCCTGAAATAAAAATATTTTAGTACTTTGAAGTAGTTATTGTCAAGAGAGAGAAATATTTATATTGAATATATACAGTGTATTTTAAACAAATATTTATATTTTAAGTATTTCTTAATGGATATATCCCTATTTTACTTTTTTTTTCTCAACAAATATCCTTAATTTAAAATATCTTTTAAAAATTTTCTCATCAATTTTAAATTAGTACAATGTTTCCAGTGTTTTTATTCTGGTACTATAAACATCATAAAAACTATTGAAAAATATTATAAGTGATATCATATTATAATTTTTTAGTTGTCATTCATTACTCATAAAATCATTATGATATACAGTTGGTTGGTAGAGGTTATGATTTATTATAGTGTTTTTTATTGTGGTAACCAAAATATTATAACAAGTCAATTTTTAATTTTTATTTGGGTAAGATTATTCATAAATTATTATAAATATCTATTTGAATCAGAATGATATATAAATAGTTTCTAATGTATCTTGTTTCCATTTAATATATTTAAACTGTTTTCAAATAGACTTTACAGTGCTTGCAATGGCAAAAACACTATAACATGCCAAAAACATTATAAGCAATAAAAACATTTTAAGAGACAGTTTAAATATTTTTTTTAAAATTATAATACTATTCATAAAAGAGTAAAATGAGATATATTGATTGAAAAATACTCAAAATATGAATATATATATGTATTATATACACAAAATAAGGTAAACATGAATTATGTTTTTATTTCTTTTTTTCCTATCCCTAAAATTATTGAAAAAAACATGAAGAGAGAGAAAAAGTGATAGTTAAGATAATTAAGAGAGAGAGAGAGAGAGAGAGAGAGAGAGAGAGAGAGAGTATGTAAAAAGATTGGATCTCCCATAAAATTGATGACAAAGAAAGCATGTGAAATTATTAGAGGGTTTATTTACATATTCCACCAAAAAAATAGTTGGCAATCGTACCGCAAATCACAAGTCAGAGCGGACAACAATGAGATCGACTTGGATCCTTAATTGAGTTAGTTCTGTAATTGCGTGTAGATCGAAATCATAAATTAATAGAAATTCTAAGCTTTAAAGATGGAAAATATAAATTGTTATCTTTTCGGATCTATCGCATCATAGATAGATAAACTCCGTCGCAGCATGGTCTTTCATTCAATATAATTGATTCCATCGAAGCATGTGTTCTCTCCTCACATCTCATTCAACTAATCCTCCATACTACTCGTCTTTGACGTTTGAATGCTTCCCCCATGAGTCTAAATTATCAATGAACTCTCCGTGTTTCTTTTAGGTCCATTTGTTATATATAGTCCACTCTTTCTCTGTGTGCTTTTTTTTTTTAAGTGGGTCATCGATATTTAATGGTTTTAATTAATTTTATCAAAAAAAATTATTATTTTCATTGTGGAAGCCGACTACTTATTAAAGCTTACTATGGGCCATCACCACTATCACAACGATGACATGATAGCATAAGGTATGATGTGACTATTAATGATGGTATAGAGATGGAGATGAAGAGGAGTGTGAGGTTGGAGTGCGACGGGAAAAGACAAGAGGCCATGATGGCCATGGTAATGCGATGAGATAGAGATGCTCTCGACATTATGAAGACGATGACTAATAGGATTGAGAGCAAGAACAATCTCATCATTTAAAAAATAAATTATCCATTATTAGAATAAAATAAAAAGGATATGTTTTGTGAGAAATTTAAGATTTTTTTTTATTATCTATTTTTAAAATTATTGATAAAAAAGATAGTGAAATACAAGGATATAATTATATTAAAAAGCCCCCAAATGATTAGACTTTTCTTGATAAAAATTAAGAGAGAACCCCAAAAAAGATTGGATTTGGATTGAGTAATCTGTTGCTCTATTTACTTCTCCACTAAAAATAGCAAGGAACGATGCTACAATTTAATGAGTAGATATGGAAAATCTAACCAACCAACACTAAAATTTAATGAGTAATTATTAACCCATACTTCGAATTATATCAAGAAGATCAATTTTGATTCATGTTCTTATCTGCATATATCACAAGTTTGAATATGTTAGGCCATAAGCGCCCACCTTCTACGAGCATTAAATTCTCCCTCCTTTTTTTATTAGAATATTATTTATTTTAAAATAGTTTTTTATTATTTATAAAATTTATTTAAAATTTTTTATATTTATAAATTATTCTTTTATAAATAGATGTGAATATTATTTTTCTCCTACCTCTTTTTCTTTTCCTTCTCGTCATCTTCTTCTTTTTTCCTCAGACGATCGATGTCGGTAAGCAATGTTTTTAACGATGGCATCGACATCAAGTGTCATCAGCAACGATGATGATATCGATAAAGAATGCGATAAAATAAGAGATTTTGGTAAAGAAAAAAAAGAGATAAATTTGATAATACTAAGGTTGTAAACAGTAAAATAATATTCTTATTATTTTTTAAAAGATTATGAATAGCAAGTGACTGTGAATAATATATAGGAGCTATGAATAGTAAGTTTCGATGGGTCTTTCTACCTAATTAATTATATTTAATAGTTTAAATTAATTTTATCAAAAATTTTATTGTTTTCGTAAAGTCGTGGATACTATAAGCCACCACCGCTACCATCCTAATGGCATGCTAGTATACGGTGCGATGAGAGCACCGACGATGGCACAGAGGTGAAGATGATTATAAATGGTAAAATAATATTCTCATTATTTTTTAAATAGTAAGTGATTGCCTAAGGTTATAAATAATAAATATTCTCATTATTTTTAAAATAAAAATTATTATTTTCATTATAGAAGTCGTGGGTCACCATTGCTACCATCCTGATGGCATGGTAGCATATGGTACGATGAGAGCGACGATGATAACATAGAGGCAGAGATAGAGAAAAGTGTAAGGTGAGGATGTGACGAGACGGAGACGAGAGGCGAAGATGACCAGAATGGTGAGATAGAGATGGTTATGAAATGACAAAGACAATGACTAATGGGACAAAGACTAAGAATAATCTCATCCTTTAGAAAATAAGTGATACACTATGAAAATAAAACAAAAAAGAGATGCTTAGTGAGAAAAGTTAAAATTTTGAAGTTTTTTTTTATCTTAAAAAATATTGATAAAAAGATAGCAAAAAAGAGGGAGATAATTATACTAAAAAAGCCCACAAATGATTGGACTTTTCTTGAGAAATCTTAAAAATTAAGAGAGAACCAAAAAAAAAAAAAAATAAAGATTGAAGAATTTGTGGCTCTATTTACTTCACCACTAAAAACAGTGAGGAACCATACCGAGTCGAAATGGAGCACTTTGAATCCCACCATCACTGGAATTGTCATCCAGTAATTTGGATCGAAGATCAATTTTGATTCTTGTTTCTATCTACATGTGTCAAATTATTTCTTTATAAAGAATGAAAATAGTATCTTCTTCTCTATCCTTTTCTTTCTTAGCTTTTCTTTTTTGTCCTCCTCGAACAATAATATCGAGCGAGCAACAACGAGTTGGCAAAGATGACAACAACAGTGAGTAGTTGTGAATAATAAATAGTGGCTATGAATTGTAAGTTTCTTTAATTAAGAGTCGATGGACTTTTCCACTAACAACCTCGATTTTATTTTGGATCTAAGTTCCCATACCTTCTCCACTCTATCTTTTAAGCTAATTTAATTTTCTCTCTCTCTCTCTCTCTCTCTCTCTCTCTCTCTCTCTTCCCACCTCCTCCTAGTCTACATAATTAATTATAATATATAAAATTCAAATTAAGGATCATTATCTTGTGTTGATCGTATGCTAATTATAATATAATAAATGCCTATCAGTCAGTACCTATGTACTATGTTAGTATATCAAATAAATAAATGAAAATTTATATTTTAGGATACTTTCTTTTTCTCCTACTGTCTTAATATATAAGTTAAAGTTAGATAAAAATAAAGTATATCTAAGTCATAAATGATTTATCTTTTTGGATTCCATCGAGGACTAATTGTCTGGCAAAGTCAAAGTTGCTTCCATTGATTCTAATATTCTCTCACCCATAAAGAACAGCTGAGATGTTGGATTAGGTGTCAAACTCTTAAGATCCTTAATTAATCACTCATCAAGATCCTTAATATTTTGAGTGTCGATGTTGTAGGTTTTGTGGGACTCAATCTTCAAACTGCTATTAGGTAGATTATACTAGTAAACCATGTGATTTGATACATCAATGCAGCACAAGTTATTGCCATTAACAAGATGTGCCCACGTAATTGCCTTCTTGAGGAATAGTGTTCCAGAACTGTGACTAGTGTCACTAATCTATGACTCTATGGCGTAAGTACTATTGACTCCAGAATGGAAAACAAATATTAATTATCATCATACATCTATTGATAATATCCTCTATAACATGTAAGTTATGATGAGTACTTATCAGTGTCGACATTACAAAAAGGTTCTTAGTGTCGACATTACAAAAAGGCAGGCTCTATCACTGCTCAAAATTGTCAATCTCATGTACCCAAAACAATCTATTAGTCACTACCATCATCATGCACTATTGACTTCACATGGTGTGTCACCACGGAACAGAGACTGTCACGTTGTTGCCTTCAATGAATCAGATGGGTTTTGATGATACAAATCAGACAGGTCTGGGAATAAGTTCAAATGTTAAATCAACTTTTGATCACGGATCTACGAATAACAAAAACCAACGAGAGTTTTGTCCATGCATCTGAAGAACTCCAGCACATAAGCAACTGGCATCATGTGCTTGAGTTCATACATTGATAACTTACATTGTTGGGGAAAAGAAATTTCAGGTTCTGATTGAGACTTACTTACATTGTTGGGGAAAAGAAATTTCAGATCTTCTGTGAGAATTAACTTCGAGGCTTTCCACCGCACAAGGAACAGAGGGAGATCCGCAGAGCATTAGGTGCAGAAGCAACGAAATGTCTGACCAATCTTCAAGAACATCCATTACTTTGACGTGGTTGACTGCAAAATCCACCAACATGACATGCACAATGACTAACAAACCCATATAAATCTTAATATTCACATGCTGACACAATTCTTATGTACATCAACTCAACAGGTATATATATATATAATGCAACATTTATGCTTGATACAATATCATTTATGACACAAGAACTGATAAAGGCTTTAAGACTTGAGGAGAGAGTTCAAAGAAAAACAAAACATTGGGATCCTATTTATGACCGTCAGCACCAACTGCAACACCTGTCCACAAATAAAACAAAACTCAAGAAATTGCAACTGCTCAAGAGAAGGAAATAACCCATTCAGTAAAACCCAAACACCAATCAGGACAAATCAGGAATGTTTAGTAGTTCCAAAGATATCTTATACAGGCTACATCAAGCAGCATACAGGCAGTGACTAACTTAATTCAGATTACTCCAACACATAGCTCAACTATCACCATATTAAGTTGATGGGTAGAGGTTAACCAGCTTAAAGTCAAGAAGGCACTACAAAATGAAGCATCATGCCCAACTTAAGCACCAGAAAGAAAAACCAACCATACGCTAAATAATTGAACTCTAAGCACCAAAAGGTAACCGAGATGAGTCCTTAGTCAAGTTCAATATCCTTGAACCTAAGAGAAAAGGATGGGATCTTAGACCATTGATACTGTCTTCGTTGGATATCTCTTTGACTTTCATGCTTACCAGTTTCATGTGGTTAAATCTGACATTAACAAAATTGCTAATGACACTTCGATTAAATCCCAAAAAAACAGAGTTTATTAAACTTTCCTTTTTCTAAATCTAGAAGCCCAGAAATATCTTATTCTTCCAATCATCCTCCCGGTGAGAATATTGACCTTAAGCTTGTACTCAGGAAAAAGAGAGATGAGCACTAAAAACCATTATTGAAGATAATCCTATTAATCAAGAATATACTGAAATCTTATGGAGAAGCAATAGGCACTAAAAACCACTGTTTTGCGTAACGAACCTCACGTACATTATGATTTACCTTGAATAAGAGTTATATCTCGTTATCCATCCATCATGTTATAGGCTGGTATGTTGCCAAAATGATCATAAGAAGATCTATTTACCATGAAATATTTTATGCATTTGTATGCACGACGTGTGGTATGAGAGCCCACATAAATATGATGTGAAAGTTCTTGGATATACTATGATCACCTATCGCATATAGTATGACCTACTCTGCACATATGTATTACAATTTATTTTGAATAAAAGTTTTACGTTTTTATTATGCATCTATCATGTTATGGGGTTATACATTGCTAAAGAGGTCATAAGAAGATGAGTTCACAATGGAATGTTTTAGGCATTTGATTTTAAAAGATTGCATATATGGCACAATGCATGCTCATCTTAATATGTTAAATTGAAAGTATATACTTACTGAATTATCACTCATTGTAGACCCTATTTTTCAGAAAAGGATAATGTGAATCTATTCATATGATGGACAAGGAGCTAAGCAGATATAGGCTCATGCCAAAGTAGATATAGATGACCACCTGTGGACATATTTTTATGTACATGAGTTTGAATAGAAAATACATGTATGATTTGAGAGTATGTGTTAATAACCTATATACAGGTCAAATATCATTATGTTTAGCAAGTTGAAATGCTTCAAATTGGCCCACTTTCCCCACTATGTTATTATTGATAGCATAAATAAAAGGGTGTGATAACATCCTATTCTAGTTATGCATGTATGGTATGTGTGGAACTAGAAGTAGGGTCGGACTAGTACGTATCGATCGATATCGGTGTTTTCGAATAGGAAGAAGAAAGAGAAGAGGAAGAGATGGTAAAAGAAAAGGAGAAAGGAAGAGAAGGGAAGGGGAAGGGGAAGAGAAAGGAAGAAGAGGAGGCCATGAAGGAAGAGAAGGAAGTGGGAGGAATAGAAAGGAAAAAGAGAGGTGGTGAAGGAAGAGGAGAATGGAGGAAGAGGAAGAAAGAGAGGAAGCGATAAAGGAAGAGAAGGAAGTAGGAGGAAGTGGGAGGAAGAGAAAGGCAGAAGAGGAGACAACGAAGGAAGAGGAAGGAGAGGAGGCAATGCAGGAAAAAGAGGAGGGAGGAGGCAAGACGAAGAAGTGAAGAAGAGAAAAGGATGACTATTGATCGACAGTGGGTGTCATGACGATGGGCAACTTAAGGAGGCGAAACGGGAAGGGCTCACGAATGCCAACCATAAAGTATATTTTTTATTTTTATTTTTAAGGTTTGAATCAGAACGCTTAAGACGAGGGCGATCTATGTACCGGTCCACACCTGGACCGGTACACACTACTTGTTTTGTACCAATGCAGGAGAAACATCAAATCCAAATTAAAAAAAGTAGCGCCTATTTAAATTTCATATGCACTCACATGGCTCCTACATGTCACTTTCCCATTTGAGGATCTTCACATAACTCACTCATCACCACTTTTGGCAAAATGCGATAAAAGATCCTCACAAACCTAGTGAAGATGTTTCCAAGGACATATGACAACTTCGCTCACTAGCTATAAGTGGTCGCATTTAGCTAGCTGAGACAGACCTATATAAGGATGATCTCTTAAAATGTGACTATAGAAGTGGTTTAAACTAACTAAATTACCATACGTTTAAACAAAACTAAGATCCACAAGCCATCGAAAAAGATAATATGTAACCCATAAGACGATCTCTTAGAATGTTTATTGTCATAATAATAAGCCACTAGGTTAGCCATGAGACAGGTGCATTTACATATATATAGATTTTTACTCCAAGCTATTTTTTCATGATTTATGCTCTTATGTAAAGGTTTAAGTACTTATCTTTGAGAGACATGAGTAGTATTATTCCGGAGATACAATGCCATATGTATCCAATAGATTCTCTCCTATGTTAAACTATTCATATATGTTTGTCGCTATAGGATATGGGCAATTCCTAAAGCTCCCATAAAAAATAAAGACGAAAGTACACAGCCATTAACATGCAACAATGCAATCCAGAATTCGATAAATTTTGTGATACTTAAAGTATAAGTCAAAGAAGTGTAGGTCATAATTTAGTTAACTCAATCTTCATGGAAGATATTTATGCTAAAATTTAACTTCATAAGGCACCTCATGGATATTTCAGGTAAGAGAGGAAGGAGAACTCAAAAGAATCTCTTTCTCAATCTCTACTCTAAAGTCTATGTGATGCATGCAGTCTATTGTAGTCCTTGAATATCACATTAAAAGGTACTAGTTTCTTTTTTTACCTTGGAGATTTCCCTCTCATCTGAGTGCATTGAAGAAATCATGCATGGACTTCCATCTTAGTACCTTATAGAGTCAAGGAACACGTTCAACAAATCAACTCAACACAAGTTAGATCATGCATGAACCTTGGAGTATGGACTTCCATCTTAGTACCTTATATTTATACTTCTTTAACTATTTAAATGTTCTAAACATAACTGAAATTTCTTGTTTTTAACAATTTACATGTTTCTTGTACTTGAAACGTAATCTTCTTACTTCATTCCATATTTTCTATTTTCTTGCACTAGTGTTGTACTTCCCCTATTCGTTGTTTTGCAATAGCGTTGTGGCTTATCCATCAGACCTCTAACAATCACAATGATTGCAGTGCAAGTTCCTTCGCATATCCTTGGGAGATACATCTGGAAACACTGGCACAATTTGGTAGCATGCCAAGCATATGGATTTCTTGGAGAGCAACTCCTTGTATCTACACAAGGGTTCAAACAGCACCTACACAAGGGGCAAAGATATTATTTATTTGTTTGGGTACAATTTCTTCTTTCAACATATAACTTCGTTATCTAACAGAATTTCTGTCTAGTGTTATTACTCCAATAAGCAATTGGTCCAATACTTGAGATTTAATAACTTAAGTTCAAAATCAATCCCAATTAAACTCTCATCAACAAAATACAGCCTAATGCTAGAAACAATAAACATCAATAATTTCCTCAAAATTTAAGAATAACTTGCAAGGAAAATCAAATGCTAATAGATGTAGTCAAGCAATCAAGTCGTACCTTTTGTCCTAGAAAAGGTGTTTTGCAAATAAAAGTAATCTAATCAATCATCATATAATTTTTCAATGAAAACAGGAAGGATAAAAAAATAGGGGCTCTTGTGTTTTTTAATTATGGTAGCTCAAAAGGCATAATGACTAATTAAACCATTGGTGAAGCTACTAAAGTTCATCAACTTTATATGACACCATCAATCATCATGATTACGAGGAAAGTATCTGCAAGAATACCCTTAACTGACATGTTCAACATGACTAAGGATTAACGTCGATGTTCCAACAACTCAAGGTAATTTTCAACATAGCTCTGCTGAAACACCAACTACCACGGCCAACGGGGAGGAGCAAGCAGAAACTCAAACGATGGAAAACCACATTTCATTTCTCGTTAAGAAGATGCACTTTTAAGAAGAATGTTATCCTGCTTATGTACTTCTCAATCGTAACAAATGAAATACCCAGAGGAGCTGCTTTTGGACTAGTATGTGCAGTCCAAATGCTTCCAACTTATAATAAATGTTAAGAAGCAAACTACATCACCTTGTCTGCTAGCTTAAAAATAAAGTGTCAACAAAAAGATTACACTTTGTGGCACTTAAAAAGCATATCGAGTGATTGCAATTTCTTGCATACTATTGAGTTGCTCTTACTACAGAATGCATAGTAAACAATTGTAGTAATGAGGTCGAGGATGCTATAGGTGAATTTAATTCCACATAAGACAGTGTCATGACCTTTTAACAGTAATGATTGGCTTTCTAAATAACATTAATACTTGCCTGGTTTGCATTATCAGGCACCTAGAGGGTTTCTATGGCAATGAGTAAATGAACTTGCAACAAGCATTAATAAACCTCTACTTGGTTTACTTGTGTAGTAAGTTGTCAGTCATCATGGAACTATTAACAAACAAGAAGCTTGAAAGGGACGAAATTGTTGTCTGTTTTTCGAGAAACCATGGAAATCAAATCTCACCGGAAATAATTCCCCATCCTCCTACTTCCTTAGACACGCCCCTCCCAGAGGCACTCCAGATCGGGGGACTTGGGCCCGGACGCACGAGTAAGGAGGTTGCGGAGGTCGGCTGGGGGGTGGAGGCCCATGGAAGAGGCTCGCTCCCAGCGTTGGAGACGCGTCAGACCAATGCAGGGGCCGTACCTCATGTCCATGTCGAACTGCCTCAGCCTCTCCTCGTCCTCGCCATAGTCATCTGAAGTCGGACCCAAGAGATAGCACATGGTATGAGATGCAAGGAAGGAGAGCGGAAACCGGAAAGGGAATCAAATACAAAAGGGGAAATGGGAAAGGGGAACACAATACCTGTGAGATCAAACGCGCCATGCGCAAAGAGAGCCGGTGTCTGAGGATCGGTGGCCCCCAAAGTGGCGCCACCGCCTGATTTGCTAGGTTTCTTCTTCTTCGAGGCGGAGGCGGAGACGGATTTGCTGATGCCGCCCTTCTGATGTTTCTTCTTTTGCCGGTAGAAACCCTTGATGTCGCCCGATGCCATCTCTCTCTCTCTCTCTCTCCCGACTATTTCAATGGAAAATAAAAATCGTAACTGTTTTAAAATTATATATAGAACATGTAAATAAAAATTATTTACCGTAAACAAAACTTCATTGAGCTCTTTTACCTGATGGCATCTCTTAATTGATTTATTAGCTGGGTGTCATGGACATAATTGATTTTATCGAATAAAAAAGATAGGTTAAAAAGAGAACATTTAACTTAAGATTCAACGAGTAATTATTTTTTAATAAATACTTGATAGATAATATAAATTATAAATATATACTTTGTAAGTTCTAAACGATTATATAATAAAAAATTTAAAATAATCTATCATGATAAAAAATATCCATAAGTGCATGATGTTAGCGGAACAAGATAACAAAACAGTCCTACATACTACCCTAAAGGTTCATCCAACTGTGTGCCACCTTGGTAATTCGTGAATGTTGTGAATCACTTTGTAGAGCTAGAAAACCTCCAAAATGATCTATAGGTTGATTTATTTTTTAATAATCTTACTTATGTACAACAATTATACATAATATGTGGCTATAAGATTGAACAGTCATAAAAATTAACTAAAATGAGGCTATCAAATCAATTATAAATTATCTACATGTTGTGTAAAGCATGAACAAAATTGAAAGATACAAATATACACAAACATATATCGAACATCTTATTCACAGATTTGTCTGTGACATTCTCTCTCACTTATTCCTTTAACACCCTCATCGAAGCGTTTGTGGATCCTACATCTTTGTACCTTTGTTGAATCTACAATCTTCAATCTTATGCTTCAATTACAACATACATCTTGGCTTGGCTCTTGTATGCTCTCCATTCGACTCTGACTCTAGTGTGAAATAAGTTAAGTTATTCTAATCTTTATTAGTTTATATATATCTTTCAAATAAAAAAAATACCTTTAATTTCTCAAACGTCTCGTATTGTTTAAACTGATTGTATTAGAGTTTTTATCTTGCATCATCGATTTTAAAATTTTTAAGTTTTTTTTTATCAAATTTATCAATCGATTCTTCTTTTATTTAGTTATTACCTCGGAATATGTTCGTATCATTTTCGTTTTCGATTGATATTTTGTTACGAAACGAGATACATAATTTAGTCTCGATAAAATCTTAGTGAAGAATTGATAATTATTATTTTTTACTAAGTTTCTTTAAAGATTCCTTAAACATATACTGAATAAAAAATTAATCTAACGAGGACGTATCTAATTATTCTCTAATAAAAATAATTTTTTATGATGCATAATTATTCTTCAAAGTATTCTTCAAAGTATAAGATGATCTGAGAGGGAAATCTCCTGAGTTTAAATCGTTACCAATATCATTCATACCTGATACGGTGTTATGATACCTTACTCGCCGACACGTCATCGATCGACACCTCAACCGTCATTGGATGACGTGGTAGCCAATGGGGTTGCAAGAGAGAGGTCGACTCAATTCCACACAAAATGGGACTCAAATCGATCGTTGCCTCGGGTTTGACACTGGGAATGATAAGACATCTAAATATCTGAACCCTAAAATTGGATTCCACTTACTTGTATCATCGGATCATGCAGAATACGTTGGGTCTATAAAACATTGTTAATAATAGCCGATGGATGAAACGTTGGTTCTTCCTCGAGTTCTTCAGTATTTTTAGGTTGGAAGGGTAAGTGGAAGGGCGAAGGGAAGCCGGTTTGTTAGACTGCAACACCATGACATCAGACCGGAAGAAGCTCCTCCGTTTAAATCAACGAGCTCCGGGGAATGATGGCTACATTGATCTCCTGGTTGGTTAGTTTTCTTGGCTTCCCTTCCTTCGACGGCCCAAATTCCCCGTCGATTCCCGACCGATCGGAGACCGCCACCGCTCGTGAAGGACGAAAACGGATTCCGGCGGGAGCGATGGAGGATGGGGCGATGATGGGGCGGCAGACGCGGAAGTGGATGGTATTGATGGCGACGGTGTGGATCCAGGCGTTCACGGGAACCAACTTCGACTTTTCGGCTTATTCGTCGGATTTGAAGGCGGCCATGGGGATATCGCAGGTGCAGCTTAACTACCTGGCCACCGCCTCCGACCTCGGCAAGGCTCTCGGCTGGTCCTCGGGCCTCGCCCTCCTCTACCTCCCGCTCCCTTTCGTCCTCCTCCTCGCTGCCGCCGTCGGCTTCGGCGCGTACGGCGCCCAGTGGCTCCTCATCACCAATCGCATCTCCCTCCCCTACTTCCCGGTGAGTTCATTTCCCTTTCTGTTTTTCGATTAATTTCTGGTGAATAATTTATACTTCCTTTATACTTTTTTTTTTGTTTTCGATTCAAAACTTCGAACTAAATTGCTTTTAATTAAACATTGGCGGGGGTGGCTCGTGAGATCGGCGAGGTAGCGTCCGGTGAACTCCTTTCATCGCATCCCTTTTATCCCTGCTGATGGTTCTCCTGAGAACCCAAAGCAGACTCCGATCGTATCGGAGTTGGGCGCCTTGCCCACCGTTCCGTTTTGCTTGGTCGATCCATCGCCAAGCCAGTAGCTCGTCCACCGTCGGATGAGACAGGTGTCTGTGTCTCGACGACGGGGTGCCTTGTGCAGTCACCGTTGGAGACATGGGTTAAGGACTCACCACATGGCAATGTTGGAGGGTGGTCCCTCTTTTGCTCTCCAATAGGCTCGGGTTCTCGTCCAGCGACCAGACAACGGGTAGGTTAGACGTGCCTCTAGGAATAGCAGATGGTTTGACTTCCAATCTACTAGTCAGACTCTTATTTTTCTGTCATTTTAAATATTTTTTCTGATCAAATTACTATTACTATTATTATTATTGATTTCTCGAACAAATTTGGACCGTGTCTTCGAGCTAATTCATATTTCGAGCCCCAATTTGGCTCCCAGCGTTTGGATGAATAAGCCTCTAAGTCAATATTGTTAGTGATCCCAACGAAAGAGTCAAAAATGTTAACTTCAGTTTGAGATTTGTTTTATCTCAATCAAATGATGATCTTTGATGCCAAACGAAGATTAGGATTAAAATCAGATGAAGATTATGATAATTCTGTTTCACGTTAACATACATCATATTTAGGTATATATAATATAATATAAATTTTAAATTTATTTTAAAATTAATTAATGTTATCATACATTAGGATTGACATTAATTCAACCAAGAGACTTAAGTTTATTTATAATTAATTTTTTTTATCAGTCATTATATGATTTTTACGCTTTAGAGACATTTAGATTGGCCGAGACAATGAACCCCAGCCTCGGATTGAAATTTGTCCGCTGGGGACACCGTGAGGCATATAATCAATGCTGCATGTGAAGAGATGGCACGATTCCTATGAGAACAGATTTAGTCTAAAAAAATGATCAGATCGTGCTTTTATATAATAGTATATTTGAGCCGAAGATGCATTGAAGTAGCACTTTCGATGCATAAGGGTTGGCTCTTTTATTAGAATAGTGAACTCTTGTTAGTGCTTGCACATGAATCACAGGCTGGATTTGTAGCTGCTCTTGTACGCATCAGTCAGTTCGGGGTGCTTCACGTTTTTCTCGTTCATGAAGAATCATGATGATAGCATATTATTATGATCAATAATGTCCTGAAGCTGGTAACAGCCAACTCAGTCTGCAATATAAACTATAGAAGTCAGTCGGGGCGTGTTTCACGTGCAACGACCAAAATAAGGCTGATGCCCTTCTTTTTCTTCTTTCCTACGACTAAACGTGGACACCTCACCGGTAGACTGCTGTCGGGGTGAAAAATATTAATAAGACTGGTGGGTACGACATGTACACGCGGAAGATGATGATGGGGTTTCAGAACAGATTCAGTAAAAAAAATTTATCAATATCGTTTCAGATTGCATGAAAAATTAATCGATTTGACTATTCATTATCTACAGTATTCGATGATTTTTCTCTTTGACTGAAACTGAGTTTAACTCTTCATTGTTGAGTGGTATCAGGTATTCCTCTTGTGCCTGCTTGCAGGATGCAGCATCTGCTGGTTCAACACAGTCTGCTTCGTGTTGTGCGTTCGCAATTTCCCTGTCAACCGCTCTCTGGCTCTCTCCCTCACCACCAGCTTCAATGGCGTCAGCGCTTCCCTCTACACCCTCGTTGTCAATGCCGTCGGTGGCTCTTGCTCTGTCTACCTCTTGCTCAACGCCACTCTTCCCCTTCTCGTCTCCACCATCGCCCTCCTCCCTATCGTCCGCCAACCTCCCACCCATCTGCTCCTTTTGGCTCCTGCGGACTCCGCTCGTCATGACTCATACATCTTCCTTCTCCTCAACATCCTTGCCTTCATCACCGGCTTCTATCTCCTCTTCCTCAACTCCATCTCCTCCGTGTCGTCTACTGCCCGCCTGCTCCTTGTCGGTGCCGTTCTGCTCCTGCTACTCCCGCTCTGCGTCCCCGGCGTGATTTGCGCTCGTGATTGGGCTCGCCGAACCATATTCTCTAGCTCTCTTTTCAGTTTCATTGGTGTCGAAGACCTCGAACTCCAAAAGCAGCTCGTCCAAAGGAGCGAGGACGACATAGACGTCAGCGTCAACAATGGTGACGCCTTCAACGTCAACGATGGTAACGACGACTGCTCGCATGGAGAAGACGGGCGACGGTCTTGTTGGTGGTGGTGGTGTTGGTGCTGTGACCGGCTGGCGGCGCTCGGTGATGAGCACACCGCCACGAGGCTTGTATCCCGCATTGATTTCTGGTTATACTACGTGTCCTACTTCTGCGCCGCCACGGTAGGGTTGGTCTACAGCAATAACCTGGGTCAGATCGCGCAGTCGATGGGAAGGCAATCGCAGACCACGATGCTCGTCACGGTCTACTCATCTTGTTCATTCTTCGGTCGCCTGGTCTCCGCGGCCCCCGACTTCCTTCGCGGGTACGTACGTGCTTCAGCCTTCGTTCTCGCGGCATATAATTCTGATTAATCTTGGAGCTCAATGGCAGGAAGATCAACTTCGCAAGGACGGGGTGGCTGGCGGCGGCTGTGGTGCCGATGCCGCTTGCGTTCTTTCTGCTGGCGGAGGTGGGCGACACGCATGCTTTGCTGGCCGGCACAGCTCTCATCGCGCTCAGCTCCGGTTTCATCTTCGCCGCTGCCGTATGCATTACTTCGGAGCTCTTCGGGCCCAACAGTCTGGGCGTCAACCACAACATCCTCATCACCAACATCCCCTTGGGATCTCTCCTCTACGGCCTGCTTGCCGCCTTGATATATGATGCCAATGGCAAGTCTATGGTCCCACTGGTACTCGGTGACGGAATGGTGCTTTGCATGGGGAGGAAATGCTACTCCAAGACGTTCTTGTGGTGGGCGTGCATTACATTGGTCGGTCTCGCGTCGAGCTTCGCGCTGTACTTGAGGACGAGGGCGATCTACGTGCAGCCGGCGCGAAGGCCGGCAGCGGAGGAAGGAGCTCAGAGCGAGGCTCAGGATTAGCTCACAGAATGTTGATTACAGTCTGGGGATCAATCAGGTCGAAGTTTTGATGCTAGAAAAGTTTACTTGGCAAAATACGACGGTAGTTTTGTACTTAGGAATACGAGATAGAAATTAAAATCTTATATATATATATATATATATATATAATATAATATAATATATATATATATATATAAGAGTGATCAATGACTCATCTGACCAACATAGGACCGTAAATTTGTTCCAAAGATAACTGATTCATTGAGCTAACACGATGAATTCACATAAAAAAATTAAGGTTCAACCTCATAAGATTATTTATCCATAGACAGACATACAATCATTGACTCAAAATATTTAAATATATTAATAATTCAAATTTCTTTCGCTTCTGATATAGATTTCCTGAATACTATAATCTTCTTCACTTACCCATCTTAGATTCTCGTTAGCATTCATTGTGCATTTTGATGAACAACCTTTTCTCCTTATAATGCATAATACTATATTCACTCGGATGTTTTATCACGATCTAAACCTACAACATCACCAAAATATTTAAGCTGATGTCGATAAGTAATACTATATTTAAGTTGTCCGGATTTCTTGATCTCTGAACGGAAGGCAGAGAAGTTTTGGTCTAAACTTAATTCCTAGATTACATCAGAGAGTAACAGGCGCTCTTACCTCCTGCTGGTTTAGCTGATGATGATTCTGATCTCAGTCGTTGACAGTAGATGTATCTATCCTGGCCGATGCTTGTTTTACCCACCGGACCACCTTCTCGGCCTCCTTGCTCGCCCTCTCCTCCTCCTCCAGTGCCCGCTTCAGGCGTCGCCGCTGTTCTTCCACGGAAAAGGTACTGAAATCGGTAAGAATTCCCTGGTTGCTCCCCCACCTTGCTTCATCGAGACTTGCTGCACCGTGGACCTCGTTGCTCTTTCCCTTCCTGGTGGATTCTCGAGCGCCGTAACATCCGAAGCAACACGTCCGCCGCGGTGGTGGAGGCGATTCCCCGGAGCGGTTCTGAGCCATGACCACAGAGGAGGAGATGGTAAGGAACGATCTCACAGATTTCTCTGCATAATCAGACACATAAATCGGAGGATTCTTCCAATTAATACAGATGATATTCCTCTTACCAACGATTACCTCAATCTGATCGAGGTGTTGTGTTGGTTTGAATGTATATATGTCTATTTAGATCCAGGGAAGAGCCGAGAGATTCAGGACGAGTAGTGACTTGGAGGTGGCTGCACGTTCGCTTTCAGGTGACATCAAGCTGGAGAAGTATGTGACCATTTTAGTGGAAGTCTCGAGAGCTTAGACTTTAATTATGGCTTTCTGGTCCCACCACAGCTTTTTGGAGAATCGCTTGGAAGCTGGTGGGGTTGGTGTAGTTGATCATTTCATATTTCATTGCCACTACGCCAAACCCTACCTAAATGTACGAGGCTTCCATCGATCTGTACGAGATTTCCATGGATGTAGGATTTAGGAAGAATCAAAATATAGTCTTATTTCTATATATATATAGATCATATATATATAATGTTAGCTTGCAGATACATTTCATGAGCAGATTCAAAATGACAAGGCTAAAAGGAGGTTAAACCCCTTTTAATTAGAAGACTAAGAAAAATTTAATCATAATATGACCAAGATATGCTCCTACATGAAACCTCTTTTGTTGTTCACTGGCACTCCTCAGACACTGAACACTACATCACCACCATCACAAAAATAATTGGTCTGAAGAAAAGATGATCCTGCAACGAAAAAGCTCAAGCAATTTGCTACATCCATCTCCAACAAAAAAATAAAAAGGCACGAAAAGTTCTTACATGTATACATCATGCTGTTGTTTTAAGCACAAACATGTATGCAAACTACACTCGCAAGACATCCTGTTTTTTCACAGAGCAATTCCAACCTTTTAGAGAAGCTAATGGCAGGCTCAAAAGAACAAGGAGATTTTGTAACCGGACAACATGCATCTTTACAAGAATATTGATTTGCATGCAGCGATCATGTCGGCTAGTGGGTCTTTATCACCTTGCTTGCTGGAGCTTTGTCTCGTCGCTCCACATAAGCGGATGGAAACCACCCAGCTTTTTCCTTGCATTCACCTTCAGACCATCCATTAGGTGCTACCTGCGAAGCCTTGCAACAATCAAAACTTCTGTTGAAATGATTAAATCTATACATAGATTTTCAGGTCTGTTGATCGAGTTTTCTAAATGCTTCCAATTCCCTAAGTTGAAAAGAAACTGTATTTATTAAGACAAGATTTGAAGTGCATGTTTTACAATGAAAAAAGAACCAAAAAGAAAAACTAATGGCATGCAACTCCTGCACAAGCATAGAAGCCTCGAGAAGGTACCATTAAGTTTTTATCTTCTATGTAATCCTTTACTTACATTTATATTTGAGGCATACAACTTCTGCAGACTATGTGGGCGTGCCTATAAAATTTAACAAAGGTTTCTGCTAGAGGATCACAAGGGAAAATATTAGAATAACCATTTTCTGATATATTGTGGTTGGATGAAGAATAAAAAAAACTACATTGGAAATAACCAGCCACTTCATATTCTCTTTTATAATCTGACCAGAAAAGGTCCATGTGAATAAAATCAGGAATACTATTTCTTCTATATCAAGTTATTTAATCTTATTATCCATCAACTACTCTGGTCAGTCCAACTTTAATTCTCTTTCGCCAATTCTCTTTGGTAGTCGTTCTTTGAAAATGAACTTCAATGTGGAAACAGCTCTTTAATGGATGAAAAAAATGTAAAATCTAGCAGACAGAATATCAGCAAATACCTACAGCACTTCCAAGAGTGATAAGAAAGCTAACGATGAGAAGTTTATGAATAATGTGAAGTAATTAAGGGTAGCAACTTGGCAGCAGCTTCTATTTTCCTCATAAAAAAGAAGTATTTTCCTGAGCTTGCTATATTATTTTGTTTTCCCACTCATTTGAAACAGAGGGAAAAAGCGTGCTGGCCTGCAGATGCAAGTGCTTTAACAGGTAGGTTTTCCTAACAAGGAATCAATCTCAGGTTTCATGATACATGATTGCAAAGTGATGGTATTATGAGATATGCTATCGTCCCATAGAGTTTGCAGATGCATGTTTTATGAGGGCAACTACATTAACTCTGCAAATGTGCACAACATACTTGGCTCTTCCTTTTCAGTTGTGGAGCACACATGATCCAGAAAGGTTTTCAAACAGAGTCTTCTTTCAAGGGGAAAAAAAAAGGTCCAAGCTACAACCTACAGTAAAAAATATTCGGAAGATGTGTTTCACCCCCAAAGTTTTTTCAGATTGCACGAGAATGTATCTAAATACCCAATATAATTCACATAGATTTATGCAGTACAGCATAATCAAAACATATGATAATAGTAGAGCGATGCAAATAATAGAGTATTGACAAACGGAAAGGCCAAATCAAAGTGCATGATACAGATAAATTTGTCCATCTCTTGAAGATGTACCTGGCGAACTACAACATAATCACCAACTGATAGACTTAACTCTCCATCAGCTTGCGCATCAAATGAGTGGACAACCTACATAAATTACAGGGAATAAGACGAATGCCGAAATGAAATTCATCAATCAAACTAATATCATTATCCAGAATTTACCCTCACAAACAAGTAACAAGGATTCATTAGAAATAAATCCACCATATATAGAATTATGCCATGTCAACTATAAATTTAAAGCATCACAGCATTATTCAACAACTTCTTGAACAAACTGCCAAGTACCAACACAAGATAACTGGATACTTATATTCAGTACAAATGGTCCTTGCCGCATTTCTCTATATGGTCATGCTGCAAAAAGTTGCATTCAACAGAAATTATATTTTGAAGATAAAAAATGCTATAAAGAAAAAGTGCAAGGACATTGCCAAAGGAAAAGGAATTATCCTCTACATCATGCAAGGTTTTGCAAGCTATGGACAAATCTATTTAAAAAAAAGGAAAATTCAAATTTTAAGTGGAATTCTTACTTGTGCAACAAAATACATTGGATTCTGACCATTTACTTGGAAATCGCCAGATCGACTTGCTTTGGAATCATTGTCATCTTTTTGAGATTGCATCTCAGTTGTTGCAGTCTGTGTCACAGACTCATGATGATATCGACTTGTCTTGACATCTTCATTTCCTGTTTGAGATTGCATGGTCTCAGTTGTTGCAGTCTGTGTCACTGACACATGATGAGATTGACTTCTCTTGGAATCTTCATTTCCTGTTTGACGTTGAACAGTCTCTGTTGTTGCAGCCTGTGTCACAGACTCTTGATGAGATGGACTCATATTGGAATCTTCATTTCCTGTTTGAGATTGCATAATCTCAGTTGTTGCAGCCTGTGTCACAGACACATAATGCGATTGACTTGTCTTGGAATCGTCATTTTGTATGGTCTCAATTGTTGCAGCCTGTCTCACGGACCCATGATTATCCTTCATTTGGACCATCTGCAATAACATGTAAACAGTCATACATGCTGATTAGCATAAAACAACTTTTATGATTATTACAATGTATAAATTGTATTGGGAATCTAGAAATAGAATATGAAATCACGAGATGCTGTCACAAAGTTCCTCTACTCTAGCTGGGTACCTCATCATGGAGTTTATCTAGAATGTTGGCAACACTCTGATAGTAAGCCCTCTCAGCATCAACCTGAACATCATCAGCAATAAGAATGTCAATTTCAGGTAGAATATAAATATAAATATAAATATAAATATATATGTATATATATAAATATATATGTATATATATGTATATATATATATGTATATCAAAATATGTATATTTATATATGTATATGTATATGTATATATGTATATGTATATATATGTACCTGTATCACATGCATAAACTTTCATTTTGATAAAATCATATGCATACACGTATATCTACCGGCCATCATGTGTAAACATAAATATAAATACACATGCTGATGAGACCAAGAACTAGAGGTCAGCTGCAGAGAAGAAGCCATATAATTGGCTCTAGACACTCCATTCTACACACATCCAATATGCATATGTGCACTGGCTATACGTACATCACATGCACAGATGTATGTACATGTGACTATCATACTAGAGGTAAAACTTGGTGATGATCCTCTAATTACACTTGGTATACAAATAATTTGGTAATGTCGCAAAATATTTACCTCTTTGTTAGGACACAAGGATGAATATGATAGTTGCATTATGTGCTTTAAGTAGAAATTTCTTTGAAAACATATATAAGGATGTAAATCTAAAGGTAAAACTAGACACTCCATTCTACACACGTCCAATATGCGTATGTGCACTGGCTATACCTACATCACATGCACAGATGTATGTACATGTGACTGTCATGCTAGAGGTAAAACTTGGTGATGATCCTCTAATACACTTGGTACACCAATAATATGGTAATGTTGCAAAATCTTTACCTCTTTTTTAGGACACAAGGATGAATATGATAGTTGCATTATGTGCTTTAAGTAGAAATTTCTTTGAAAACATATATAAGGATGTAAATCTAAAGCTTTGAATACTATGTTAACTCAAAAGTTCTCTTTACTAGGGTGTTTCTATATTATGAGGGTGCGCTATATTTACACATGAGGTTATCAATCATTAAGTTACTTGTAATGATAAAAGTTCCTACCAGCATGCACACTGATGGGAACTGATGAGAACAAAGTACCATTAATGACCTACTGATAAACTTGGTATATCAATAACTTGGTGATGTTCAAAATATTTACCTCTATGTTCAGGCACATGCAGATTTATGACATCTGCATTTTGTGATTTAAGTGGAATCTTTTTTGCTTAAAATATATGAAAGACATAATTAAAGTTTTGAATTCTATGTTAACTCAAGCTATCTACACTATGGTGTTTATAAGATATGTGGGTCAGATACGTTCAGATAGAAGGTTAACTGCTATGCAGTTAACACTGGTTCAAGATACCAGCAGAAATAAACAAGGCTATACATTAAAGCACGATGGCCCATGTTTACTGGGAAGTTCTGCTTCCTTGGTGATGAGAAACCATTTTCAATCAAATTGCGATAAAGACTAAATATGCAAAAACAAGCCATATAGGAACCAAACAGTAACAGGTATTTGGTACTAGGGTTATGTATATGTAGTTATCTGTTATTGTCATAGGCCATCAATGATCTACAAATAGCATTCCCAGGCTAACATAGCTACAAAATGATTCATATGAAAGTTCCGATTCAGAAAATGAAGCCCTCATCAAAACTGTCTTTAAGAGAACCTAACAACTCTAGGCATAAAAGGCTACAGGAAAGGTTCCCATATGGTTCTGTTTCAGATATAATTGCAGCATTCATGTTCTAGTTCTTTAAATACATGGATCAACATATTGCATCATTTTATATGTTAATCAATGATGATGCTAGTAAAGGATCCCTTAATCTGAGAAAGCTTCACAAGCTTAGATCCGAGGACTGCTTTTATGTTGGCAATGCTGATCCTGGCATTGAGTGTTGTATGCCCCATATTAGGGTAGCACATAGGAGATTAGGGAAAGGAAGCAGGAGGAATATCTAATGTGAAAGTTCCTTGACTAACTCCATATTTTATGGTTGAACCACCTGACTTGACTGATTTTGGTCAAACTGAGTCGAGAAATAGATTACTAAGGAGTTTCGACGCATATCAATCAGCCTGTTTTAGCTTTATTTGAGTCTTTCTGAAAGATATAATCTGACAACCAATATAAAAAGTTTGTGTTGGACAATTCTGAAAGCAACATATATAAATGTTTGTGTTGTTAGTATGAGAATGTTGAAGCGGATATGTAGAGTTATTAGGAAAGACAGGAAAAGAAATCTTTTCATTCGTGGACAATTAGGTATAGTTATAAGGATAAAATAAGAGATTAACATTTAAGTTAGAAGGAACATGTACTCAAGAGACCTACAGATTCGAAGGATGTGGTAGTCAGAAAAAATGAAATAATTACTATTAGTGGTTTGAGGAGAGGTAGAAGAAGACCTAAAAAGATTTTAATAAAGAATGTAAATAAAGAACTAAATACTATTAACTTAACTATACATATGACCTTTTACAAATCTCAATGGGACTTTATGGCTTTGTTGTTTTTGTTGTATCATCTGACATCCAATTTGATTGATCTTGTGCAAACTGTAACCCCACATCTGATGACCAATGATCAATAGAGATCACACCCGGTTTGTGGCTTCCCACATGGAAGAACAGTAAGTTTTCCAACAATGGCCCCATAATACACTATAGGTTCATAAAATATGTGTGCAACAATTAACTTCATAGAGAGGTTATCTGCTATACAAAAAGCCCAGTATACGTATCTGTTTAGAACCTATGCAATAGGTAAAAATTTTCATTTGAATTCAAAATATAAATTCTTCCACAAGTTTAAATAGATATTCCATCAAAGTGTTCAGTTTTGCCTTCTCTCTCTCTCAGGTGGCCTTCCACAAGTATCAAGAATTTGGACAGGTCCAGTATCTTAAATCTCATATGCAAACATACCATATGGAAATTAAATATATGGAGGAAAATAAAAAATGACGGATAGGAAAAAGCATAAGAGCACAAGTTGAAAAATTATGACCACGAAAGAATGGGCAGTACCATTGCAAGCAGGTGATTAAAAGTATTCTGTTGTTGTTGATCCTCAACAGCCATCATAGCAGCAGTTGCTTCTCTGCCCAATGCTGATAGAGTAGTCCGCAGTTCTTGTAACTTTGATTCTGCATGTTGAAGTTTGGCTGAAACATCCGTGGTTTCAACAACTTCCTTGGACTTCAATTGACGTCTAAGAACTTCTGCTGTCTAATCAGCATATACTCATTCATTAGTTACATTTTTTTCACCTCCATGGACAAATACATAATCATACTATTTACCTGTGCTTCCACATCTTGTCTAATCCGGTCATAACGGTAAGTCAAGAAACGGGCATCTTCTAGAGGGGCTCCTATTATCATTGCTCGTATTGGTTCATAGACCTGTGGAGAAAGAAAAGGAGTCCTTAAGAACCAAATATACAAGTTGATACACAATGATCTAAGGTGATACTTATCCTTCAATCACCCACCCTTTCCCTAAGTTCCATAACATGACTCATTAGTTTAATTCCTTAATAATTGGAGGTAACTTTGAATATATCTCCCTTATTTTTACAAATTAATGCTGAAATTATTCCTTCATTCGTCAGTTATTTTTTTATCCTCAAAATTTTGTTAAATAAATTAGTCATATCCTTATCTCCTAAATTCTTCCAAACCTCAAAAGACACCATCAAGTTTTTTACACACTTATCCAATTTCATTCTCTTTTAACTTCATGTATCTCATTTGTTTTAATTTTATGAAAATATCTTTGATTTTCGAACTTCAAACCATTGTCTATCTCTAAAGCTACTTCAGCACTAGGATGTTAATTTAATAATTTATAACAAATCTCTCCATCTTTCCTTAATTTTCATATTATTGACAAGCACCAGTTGATCTTCGTATAATGTAACCTTGATCTCTACTCTTCCTTTCCCTAACTTTAGCAAAGTAAAAAGTATTCTTTTCCTATACTTAGTATCTACCTTATCATAAAGACTATCATAGGCCTTGTAGTTAACCAATTTGACTAACTTTTGCTGCTTTTTAGCTAGTGTGCTTATTTTAAAATTCCTCTTATTTTTAAAATTTTGTTAGTATTTAAAACATGCCCTTTTGTGGTGATTAACTTATGAAATTCCTTACACAACCACTAACTCACCCCTTGAATCTACACCTCTAACTTGAGAATATCTAAGAATCTTTTTTGTCACACTCATAATCTTTGTTGATCTGATACAACGCAAGAGTACTCATCTATCTTGCACCACATCTGGGCACAAAAGTGATAGATTGTTGTGAGCAACCTCCTAGCCCCACTCTTAGAACTTCGGGTTTAGTTGTTAAGATACATTTGAGTGATGACACAGCCTTATAATGAAAATGAATGGGACACATTCACATGAGATTTAACAGAGTTTCATGCTGACTATCAATAGCCTGACCTAACCCTCCATTTCTTTTCATTCTAAGCTTGGGACTGATATTGGTGATGTTGATATTGAGACAGTTCTTGAAAGAAAAAAAAATATATATAATGAGACTCCCTTGGTTTTAAGCTACTGTATGATTAAGTCAAAAAGTGAAAACTTGTAGTCAAATCAAAGAACTTCTTACTTCAAGTTCCATAATCATTTAACAAGTAGAGTCAAATGACTAAACCTGATCTCCAAGTATTGTGAGAAGATTAGCCCTCTCTTTCTCCATCATACTGTGAGAAGTACCAAAGTTTAGAGCACCAGACGCTAAAGGAAAGCCAAAATCTTGATACTTGGTTCCATATTTGCAACAATCTTCAGCTAGCTTGTTTACTGTAAATATTAAATATCATGTTTAGACAATATAAAATTTTCAGTGGCACCTTAATCTGAATATGTAACAATATATTACCTATTTCCATCTGCTTAGAACTAATAGCAATGAATGCCTCGACACCACGTACAATGTCCCGTTGAAGATGCTATATAAAAGGGATATTTTTAAAAATAAAAAACAATTATGAAAATTTCAGCTCAAATAGCATTTCATCTCCTATATCTGGAAAGAAAATAAGAAAACTGGAAGTCCTAGCCAAATTTCTTTCTTTACCTTCGCTGCTTTTGTAGAAGCATATAGCATCTGAAGTTTTTGCTGACATTGAAGTTCAGCTTCATCAACAAGAGAAGAATCATGACTAAAACGAACACTAATTTGCTTAAAGACTGCCTGCATAACATGATAAAACTTCTGTTAGTGTCTCAAAACAAATAATAATAATAATAATATTTAGAAAAGACAATAGTTTAAATTATTAAGAAGTTACAGAACAAGTTTTGCTTTGTGAAAAAATCCGTAATATATTAATCTTGTGATTTGTGTTGAATCAAGCTCAACGAGAAATTAGCATTTATTAGAAACTAAATATTACAATTAAGCTGGAGAGATTTACTAACAGAGCAGCAAAAGGAATGTGATCGTGATTTAACTTGTCACCAGACTATATGAGAGATATTATATTCCATAATTTCATGAGGCATGTATTCATAAAATTTTATCTAAAACTTTTTAGTAGATCTTCCAGTATCACAATTGTTAGTCCCGAAGCAAAGGATAGTTTTCACATGCCATTTCATAAGTCACATCCCTTTAGAGGAGAGAACGGCAAACCCAAATTCATGTTTCATACTTGGGAGTTTATCGTGATCAATTCATTCCATGGAACAAGAGAATTGTATGGTTTGCAAATTACATTGCAATATCAATACTTTTAAACGACAATACTTTAGAACAGTCAACGCAAGAGGTTCAAACTTCTGAACTGTCTAATTTGAATAGTTATGTAAAAATATAGTTAGGTTGTTGAGAATTACATTTATATTTTCTTCTATGCCTGGTCAGCTCACCTGCTACTGCAGACTCTTAGATCCTTAAATCAAGAAGGTTCCCCACCTTCTTCTCTTCAAGTATCTCAAAACCCCGTTCTTCCCACCTCTGACTGCCATTCTCGTTTATCTCCTAAAGCTTTTGTCATTAAATGTGTCTGTATATATTGATAAGCAATGGGACTAGAAACTCATAATCTGAAACCTGACGAGATATCAAAACATTAAAAAGTATCTGCAACAATGTCATGCCATTTGATGAGATGCGACACCTCAATCTATTAACATACATTATCAAATTTTAGCCATGACTAACAGCAACCCTGCATGCATCATCGAATTAGAATACTACATATATAATCAATTTTCCATGACTTGGGACAGCCACATTTTCAGAGTTTGGAGATCGTATTTTGCCGAAATTGAGCAGCATTATAGATTGACCTCAAATAAGCAGGCAATGATGAGCTTTTGACTGCTAAACAATTCTGATAAAGCTAAAAAATTCACAAAAGGGCCTCTTTCATGTCGTATCAGGCTCCAAGATCATCAACCTAAGGTCTCAAAAACTTGCGGATAAGGTGCAAAACCTAAAAGATCCAATCCAGAAGCTTACTTCCCATTATATAAATAGTCGATATGCCACTGCCTAAACCCACAAATCTCACAGTAGACAGCAAAACCGCCAACATGAAAAGCCTGAATGCTCTCAAAATCCTCAGGTATTCGTCATTTTAGACCCAATCTGGAAGTGAGTAATCAAAATTACACATCTCGTACTCGACCCAATCTCCAAACCAGCAAGAAGGACAAGAATAGCCAAGAAAGAGAAAGATGGAAGAAAAGAGAACGGCAAGACGCACCTGTTGTTGCTTGGCCACTTGCTCCCTCAACTTACTAGCCTGCTTCCGAATCGCTTCCATGGTGCCTCTCCTTCCTTTCTCCACCTCCCCTGCTGCAGAAGGGTTTCAGATCATGATCCCCATCCCCATCGCGATCCCGATGCAGTCAAAGCCAATAAGAAATCGATCTGGTAGAGGATATTTTCTTTTTGTAGGTCCAGAATCAGATGGTATTTGGGAACGCCGAGTAGTTGCGACGAGCCACCACAGTCAGCAGCAGAGCTGCAGAGGACGGAAAGATTTGGTGTTATAAATATGCATCATCTTTATTACACGACTCTCGCATCACACTCGGTGAGTGTCCTCCTACAGCAAGGGAAAAGGAGAGAGAGAGAGGAACGGAGACGATGAGAAAGAGGAGCTGTTGGCGAGCTATCCATTCTGCTCGAATTATAAAGGACAAAACTTGCAGAAGCCACAGCAACTGCTACACTCGACCGAGGGAGCAGGGGAGACGACCGAGCGGCCTCCCATCACCTGTTTCCGCCCACAACATACAACACAATGATATCGCATATTCACGCTGGGGTCCGCCTCTCCTGCCCCCTCGCCGACGGCCATGTCATTTTCCCGCGGAGTTGCCTGTCTGAGCAGAACCAGAGGCCGCGCAGATTCCACGACAGAGTGGCCGCCGCGAGCGCGTAGCTTTCACGCCATGGCCGTTACACGCGCGGAGTTTATTACGCACGAAACAACAGTTACAGAGTGGCGTCGGGTGGTGGGGTGCGTGGTGGGTTTAGCGAGTACAAATTTATCCGTAGAAGGTAACAAAGCGTCAACAAGTCGAGAAAGACTTGACGCCGCGGCCACATACCCCGGTTTGATCCTGTCACGGGTGAGTGGGGTCCTTGTATCCGCTCACCGGTGATAGTAGCGTGGGAACCAACTTTATAATGTTAGGCGGAAGCGATGATGCGAGCGGGTAAGGTAACCAGAGTAGGAACAGACCCGAGTCGTGATTGGGTCAGCTGGCCTAGGATCGGGTGTGGTACCGTAACCAGCAATGAATATTAATGGAGTTGTCGGCGGCTGTAGGCCCCAAATGACAGATCAAATTGATTGGGTCCACACAATTCACGCTGGCCCGCGCATCCCACAGGTTCTGTTGGTGTGGAGCAAGTCACCGAAACGTGTCCATTAAATTGGGCCGGTTTAGTTTTATGGGCCCCTTGAAATGGGCCGGTTTAGTTACCCACCACAAGGTCCACATTTCCACTAATAGTCTCCCAAACCCTTCGTCCCCAAAGGTCGCAAACGGAACTCCCTGTCGCTCACTCTGATGTATTCAGTGGCTCTCCTTCAGTCCTTGCTTGTTCCTCATCCCCACCTCCGCGTTCAAAACCGTAGAGCGATTTCTCCCTCCCTGTGGCTTCGAAGGCTGGAGGTTACTGCGAAGCCGAGGCGCGGATTTCGGCCATCCGCCGCCCTCCGTCGTCCAGCGTCGGATGGATCACCGGCGACCACGAATTCGTTCTTGCCGCTGTTATCTCTCACCGAAACCTTCAGAAGGCATTTAGGCCTGCTGGTTCACCTTGCCGCTGCTGCTGCCTTCCTCATCGGCTTTGGCGCCCGCGCCTCTACCCCCGCTTCTGCCGCAGTTGCTCCCCCTACCGTCGTCAGTTCGTCAGGTGTGCCAACCTTTCTTTTCTTCCATCAGGAAGTGATTGTACTTGCATAAAGATCCCACCTTGTTGCCTTATCTGGTTTTATTTGAGGTTGATTGGAGTGAATATATGTATGTATCTTTGGGCTATTCATAGCCATTCTAGAGCGTATAACTTTGTTTTTTTAATTCAGTCTTGGAATTGTTTTGGGGTTTCTTTGAACCGCAAAATGATCCCTCTTACTGACGAAGTGATCTTAAAATTGTGATTTTTAAGTGAATGAAACGGAGACCTCCGATGCGATCATAGAACAATCAGCGGAGAATGAGGAGTTGAAAGCGGCATTGGAGGCTTGGAAGTCGAAGACATATGCTTTGACTGTGCCGCTAAGAATTGTTGCCCTTCGTGGATCCCTGCCACCTTCGTGGATTAAGGTTTGGTGCCTCAGTATGTTTCTTGGAAAGAAAAAGTGGGGATGCTAGTGTATTTTATTCATAACATGCTCTCCACTGGTTTTATGTTCATGATGCAAATTAAACCAAGCTTGGGTTTTTCTAATCATTCAATTATGTTTCTTTAGTTGCAAGTTTGCATGAAGCAATCTTTTTTAAATACAAGTATATCTGGAAATGGTTGTGATTTTATCATTCTAGTGCTTGTAGCAATTTGTAATATTAACTTTAAGTCTTCATGGCAAACAGGATTTCATTCAAGTGCAAGGAAAGAGATTACATATGAACCTTGAATATCGTGGAGGTCTTGAATCCATCTTCTCTGATTTGTCATCAGCTTCTGAGAAAGGTCATCTGCAGCCAAAATCAGCCATGGCAGCTGATATTATTTCCCTTGGTGACTCCTGGCTGAATTTTGCAATTATCAGGGGTCTAATTGAACCTGTTAAACATATAGAAGAACAAGAATGGTTTAAAAATTTAAGCAACAAATGGAAGGTGAGAACCTGTTCCATGAATTGGATTCATTTTTCCCATTGATTATTAAGCCTTAGAGCTTTCTATTATGGTTCTCTGGGTTTGATATATCACTAAGTTGTCATACTATCACAGTAGTATGCTTGCCAGCTATCTATGAGGATGCCATATAATTGTTATGGATGTGGAACTATTGTTAGATGTCTTGTATTCCTGAATCCTTTTGTAGCAGAGTTTGCACGGTAGTTTATTGAAAATCTCTCAGGTTCATTTACGCAGGAATGATAAAGGAGAATTGGATCCAAATGGTTATATATGGGGAGCCCCATATCGTTGGGGACCTATGGTAATAGCATACAAGAAGGAGAAATTTAGAAGGCACAATTTAAGACCGATTGAGGTAATTTCAATTTTTGAAGAAAATGTGAGCATCATTTCTTTATTCCTTTTCATACAAAAAATGGAAGATTAGTTTTTCCTTTGATGTAGCTGGCCCCATATAGCTGAAAATTTATGGCTTTGTTCGTGATGTTGGTTTTTCCTCTGATATGTTCTTTATACCTACATATGAAGTAATTATTATCTGAATAACATAGACAATGGTTTATATCGGGTTATCTTTATCCTGTTTTCTAGGATATTTGAATTATTATTGCAGGACTGGAGTGATTTATGGAGAACTGAGCTCGCTGGGAAGGTTGCAATGGTTGATTCTTCTAGGGAGGTCATTGGTGCAGTGTTGAAATATATGGGATCATCATACAACACCAAGGATTTTGAAACCCAAGTTGTTGGTGGGAGGAAAGCAGTGCTACATAATCTAAGAGCGCTTCAAAGGCAGGTATGCTGTAAAGATTGTGAATTCAGGCTGTTGATGTTTCTTCAAGAGATTGCTGAGACACATTAAATTATGCATAACTGCCTTGTTATTCAAGTCATTGCTCCCAAATATCTTTTCCCGATTGTTATTTCTGTTATAATACCAATATGAATAGTCAAGAACAGGTTTAATATTTACTCAAGTAATTGGGAAGAAAGAATAATGAGTTTGGGTGGGCATGACAAAGAGTAGGCATCTACCATACATTTCAAATGCTGGTAAAAGCTCCATTAATACAATCACCAGCATTTATTCTAACATTTTGAGGTGAGCTATGCCAATGTCATTAGTTGCATCTCACTTTTAGAACTGCTGGTATAAGGCCAAATGCGAGTAAAAATAAAATGCTGGCATTTGCAAATGCCAGCTAAGGAACTATTACCGGCATATCTGAAAGCATACTGCATATCTCATTGAGCAAACATAAAACATAGCCCATTAAGAAGAGGCCACTTAGAATCACTTACAAACATTTTCATCTCATGAGACCATGTACACATGATCATTAAAAGTAAGCCTTTTTCTGGTCAATACTTATCAAGCACTCTCATTCCATAATATTCCACATAATTATATCTGTGCAACAACCTCAAAACTGAAAGACAGCCACTTCAGAAATCAGCGTAGTCATGTGAACAAGCTAAATGAAGCCCATTTCCTCCTGAAGCTTTAAATGAGCTAGTCAGTGATAACTCAAATTCAGCATCATACAACAAAATATTGTTAAAAATAGACACATAAATACATGTGATCACCATCTCCATTGCCATTCGATACATCATTACTGACTCCAGCCAAACAGTTATTGTAAGAGCTCCTGCCTCATTATCTACCTATGTGACAACTAGATCTACCACTTAATTGTCCTTGATATAGCTGGTTTGGCCATGAGGATCACCAGTATATAATGTAACCTTTTGTTTTTTCTTGCTCTCTTTCTTGACTTATGAAAAAAATAAAAAAATCAATTAGCTTTACTGAAGCAAAATGATAAGGAAGTCATCAACAACAGTTTAAATCATAATAACTACTCTGTAATATTTAGTATACTATAGAAGTGAAAGTCCACCATTTAGAAAGACTTCTGTAATTATAAATTACAAGTTATATTTAAGCTTTCGAGTTAGTCTCGCATGCCCTTGGCTTTTGAGTTGGTCTTGGTAGCAACTCCTATTTGGTCATGTTAGTTTCCAAATAATGCTTGCCATTGCTTTAATTCTGAAACTATAATATGCACTTTTCCTTATGTAGGTTCGGCTATTTGACAGTGTTCACTACCTAAAGGCATTTAGTTCAGGAGATGTATGGGTTGCTGTAGGATGGAGTAGTGATGTTATTCCTGTTGCCAAGCGCATGTCCAATGTTGCAGTGATCGTTCCCAAGTCAGGGAGTAGTCTATGGGCGGATCTATGGGTATGATCTAAATTACACTAAGATATTTTTATGATGAAATATATTTCATAAGCTATCTTTCATTGGTCAAAACTTGTGTCTGCAGAATGTCAGCTGCATTTACCCGAAAGCTTTCCATTTTCATAGGTATATAAAATCCACTGATGAGGTGCTAAATTGAGTATTTAATCTTTCAGGTGATACCTTATGCTACCAGATTCAAAACCGATAAAATTGGTGGCAGAGTCAGAAGCCCGTCTCCGCTAATCTATCAGTGGTTCGAGTTCTGCTTGCAAATCGCGAGCGCATTGCCTTTCCAGCAGGAAGTTATCCCAGGAGCTTCTCCCATTGTCTTTGACCAGTATTCAGGAGGACCTATGGAATCCACAAAAGGGAAGCCTAAATTAGACACAAATCTAGTTGATGGAGTGCCAACACCTGAAATATTAGCTAAATGTGAGTTTTTAGAGCCATTATCGGAGAAGGCGTTAGAAGATCATGAATGGTTGATATCGAGTATGGACAAATCAGGTAGTGGTTGGATCAGGAACATCTTGTACTCAAGCTCAGCATTGTTCAATTCCAGAGGGGGTAATAAAAAGTCATAAAATTGTTTCTAATTATGTTAGTTGCTTAACGTTTGCTCAAAGTTATGAGCCTAGAATATGAGAATAGTCACCATCCTTGCAAGCTTTGGAATTGGCCTTCATTTGTCTGGTCCTCCAAGGCAAGCAGTCCATAATTTTCTCTTCTCTCTCTACTATTCGGCTTGAATCTGCCAAATCTTCATCTGATGTTCTATGTTATCATCAATTTTCACATTTTATACCCTAAAAAACAGTAAGGTTGCCTTTATGTTTTCGGATTTTGATCAATTTTCGTGTTTCATGTTATATACAAGGATAAGATTACTCCTATGGAGAAATCATTTTCACATTTCGTGTTATATACAACCAATCCTCTATATATTTGATTGATCTTTCTCAGATTCTGTATTGGTGGAAGCACAAGCACATGAGGTATATCTTTTTGTGAATTATGTACGATAAAATACATTCGAGAACTTCCTATCATATATATATAGCTTGACACAAGTCAAGCTAAAAAGAACTACAGAATAAGTACCGAGCTTTGAGCATCAGAACAAGTTATGAAAAAGCTTTGAGCATCCTTATTGCAAAACAAGTACCGAGCTTTGATCTGATAGTAAATTCCAACTGGACTAACAAAACGCAGTATCCTACAACTCGAGGCCAAAGTCTTTATTTAAATCAAACATTCATGATCACGTCCAGGGTGAAGAAAACGCCATGAAGAAAATTGCATCAAGATATGGCATCACCAAACATCTCACACCATAATGCTACCATTGTGGGACGAGTGCTTAGGTTCCCAGTGTATACAGCCTAATATCTAGCTGCTACCAAGGAGCAGTTCATCGCTGACTCTCCCTCCGCCTAACATAACGAGTCCTGTCATTATATCTGGGTCTATCTCTATCATTTCTCTGGGTGGTGGCTGCATCGATCCTCCTCTGCCTCTCCGGAGGCCTTTGAACTATTTCTCCATTCAGAAATAATTCAGCTGCAATTACCAAAACATAGTAGGAGTGAGCACACTTTGTCCAACGTGATTATGGTGAAAGCAAACAGTTTACTTCCTAAGATAATTCAGTTATGTATCAAATGTGTTTCTTAAGTGACTCGTCTAATTCTTTTAGAGAGAAATCTTGTGGATAAGAAAATGTAAATCAGTACAGGCATACTGTACTGGCAGAAAAAAGCAGTAAGTCATAAATGTCTAGCAAGTTTCTACCTAACACAAAGAAATGATAATCTCCTTCATGTGTTCAATATCTGACGATCGATAACCAGCAGATGGCATCAATCACATAATATATGGATTAACGCGATATTGCAGATCAAGCAGAAATATTTAAAATTATTGTCTTGAATCAAAAGAAGCAAAGTGTAGCATACACAAGAGCTTTTACACGATGTCCAGGTGTCGTAACAACCATTAGTCCTAGGCAAAAAAGCACACATTTCCCTCCAAAATAAATGTTTTTCGTATTTATCCCTCTAAAGTTGAGTTCACCCTGTATATCTTTGTAAAACCTAAAAACTTGCATGAATGTCATTTCATCCACTAACTATCATGCGACTGATAGTATGAAAACTCTAAATGACATTAATACATTACAACTCTTTGGATTATAAGAACATTTGAGGTACTTCTAAGTATTTAGATATCCTTATAACACAAGATAACTAATGCTAATTACAATTAGCCATGGTAACCCGAGTCTTATGTCAATGGGAGGGATATATGTGAAGGATCCTAATGTTTAGGGGGATAGATCAAATTTCGTAAGGAAAATACACAGTTTCCAAACTTTGAAAGGATAGGTATTTAAAAACTCCTTAGTTTACAACTATCCACGGAGAAAAAAAATTCAAACTGTGGAACAGTAGACATGATGTTATCCTCTTATTTGGGCAGCCTTATAACAACATAAACCATCTTTCCAAGTCATTTGTAATACACACAATAATAGCCATCGTAGAAAATAATCAAACGTCACTGATTCCACATTCTACTTTTTAGTGGCAAAAAGAACTGCACATGCAAAGAACAGAAATCATGAAGTTTTGTTTTACATTGTCTGCAATTTCCCTGAATATGAAAAGTGTGGCACCATAAGGGAGAATGTTAATGTGCCCATTGGCTTCTCAGTAATAAGACCATTTAATTCTGCCGAGGTGCATTATACAGTTGAAGCAACAAGTAATTGATGTACTATCTCCTCAAAGAATTGCAGATAGCACTGCTTTCACTTGAGGACGATCTGAAATAATGTGGTTTATAGAAAAAAAAAAGAAAGAAAGAAAGATGTGTCCATATTTGACAATTATCAACTGATCAGCAACAAAATATAACTGATCTTATGCAACCAGGTAAGGAAAGTAACCTAGTGAAGAAGATGTTTAACCTAGCGCATAACAATGCAACCAAAGCTTAATTCAAAAACATCTAAGAACACTCAAAAGAAACTAGTATGCTTACCTCCATAATCCTTGTTTTCAGCATCGACGTAGGAATCTGGAAGCACAAAAAGAACACCAGGAAGACCTGTCAAAATCATAGACACCTATTACAATGGGTGCTTCTCACAGAAATGGGAAAGAATTTCCCTTGACTAATGAATCAAATTACAAGCATGGGCAGATAAGCTAATGCAAATAAAACGTTTGGACTTCCAGAATGGCAGAAGAAGATTCAGGTGGCAATAAAAACTGCTTCTTGGGAGACAGCACACGCCACTTATTTGAGACAAGCTACACTCGCCACCGCTACACCTTTATCACCCGCAAATGAAACACTTTTGCGATTTCAACTTTCTTTAAGAAGGGAAAAGGAAAAAAAGAAAAGAAATGATATTTACATCCGAGAACTAAACTACGACAATTACCTTCGAGCTTGTTGGATGTCTCCTCATCAATTTCACATCCAAATCCAAAGTAACGCTCACAAGACACATTGTATATTTTCTTCTTCGCTTCCTCCTCACTAACACAGTGGAAAAGAATTTGAAATGCAGAGGACGCGTTCAATCAGCCAAAGAGAGAATCGATTCAATAAATTACTACTGGGCTTGTTGTAAGAATACGAGCAAGCGTTACACGATTGTTACCTGCCGAGGACCTTGGCTAGGGTTTGAACGTAGCAATCGATCATCTGCTGCTTGGTGGCCCCCTCGCCTCCAGGCTTGTCGATGACGATAAGCCAGTGCTCGTAGTCGCACCCGGGGAACAGCGGCGCCATCTCCGTCGGCGGGCGGTCGCTGAAACCAGAACCACCACGGGAGCCCGAACTCAGGGGCGAGTAACCCGAATCGCCAGCGCGGCGGGCCATGGATCGGAACGCACCAATGCGGGAGGCTACTCCCACCGCGGCCAGCCCAAGTAACGTAGGAGAGGGACGGAGAAGGCGAATACCGACTAACGGGCGTGCGGCGGCGGCGGAGGAGGAGCTTAGGTGGAGGCAGCGCTTGGAAAGGAACGAAGCAATGGGGTATCGAGCGATGGCGGCAGTGGTGATGGGGCAGGAGATGATGGAGCGGGACATGGTGGCGACGGCCGTCGGAGCGAGGGAGGGGAGGCGAGCAGACACCAAAGCAAGTACAGAAGAGCGCGAGGGTTTTTGGTTGGGGTGTAGGCTTGGAGGAGTATTTATGACGTTGGAAATGCAATGCGCAGCCAAAATTATTATTTTTCTTTTTTTTAAATCATTATATATATATATATATATATTCATATATGTGTATATATGGACACAACACAGTCAATCGATAACGCTCAAACAAGAATATACAACAAGCATCCACATGGCAAACCATTACCCGTATCCGACAAATATACGCGACTGGTAACGCCCGTGACGCGGACATGACATAACAAGGAAGCAATTCGACAGTAGATGTATTAATACGCTCATGATTCGCAAATATGACAGAAGTATTTTAGGTATTTTACATTTTATAAATACTATGTTGATTCGAACAAATTAATAAATAGCAACTGCAGTTAAAGGTAATTAATTTGGATTTTTCCTTTTCTTACTTTATTTGGTCCTAATTAATATCGACAATATCGAAGTTACACGTACCGATTTGAAGTAACAAACAAGAAGCAAGCGGCTCTATAAAGAGCTCTTACAGACATCTCGGTCGCCGCAACAGAACAGAACAGGTCGCTTTCTGTGTGTGTGTCTCTCTCTCTGTCACAGAGAACACCGTCCTCTCGTCTGCGTTTTCTGCTGTCCCATCGATCCATCCAGCTCGGAAATGGCGAAACCCTATTGTGTGCCTCGCGCACCGGATGGTGATTCCACCGCCCTTCTCCCGAGCCCCAACCTTTTCTGCTGTCTTCCCCCTCTCCCTCACGGGTACGTCCTTGCTGTCTCTTCTCGGGGGAACGACTGAGAAGCCGTCCTTTTTCATTGCTTTTTCTTTTCTCTCTCTCCTCTCTCTCTCTCTGTGCTTCCTTTTTCTCTTTTCTTTTTCTTTGTTTGTTTCTTGAAGCTTTTGCTGCCTTGCAGAGGGGAGGCGATGGGGGACAGGTTTATTAGGATAGGGGGGGAAGGAGGAGGAGGAGCAGGAGGGGTGAGGGAGGAATCGGGGTGGCTGATGAATAATACGGCGGCGGCGGCGGCCATAGAAGGCCGGCCGCCGTTCACGGCGTCGCAGTTGGAGGAGCTGCGAGTCCAGGTGCTCATCTTCAAGCACATCCTCATGGGGGTTCCCGTGCCGCCGGAGCTCCTGCTTCTGGTTCGTAGGAGCTTGGAGGCCATGGCCGCTCGTTTATATCAACACCCCGCATGTAAGATAGCGCTCCTCTCATTTCGTGTTGCTCCTGATTGCTCCACATTGCCGTAGGATATATATTTTTTTTATTATCAAGTTTCAATCTTTGGATTTGTTTGCTTTTGGCGCATATCTTCTCCGTTCCGGCCCTTGTTCATCATCCAAAAGAGTCTTGGTTTAGTAGTTCCTTCTCGTTGCTTTCTACCTTGCGACATCTCTAACCCTCCGAGTTAAGCAGTCGCTTCGATCAAGTTCTTATCTTTCTCGTCTCTTGCTCTGCTTTTTAGCGCCTTTGTCTTGCATCTCATCGCAAAAATACTCCTTGCAGGTTTTTGGTTGAAGTTACATGTGGACTTTCTTGTTGATCGGGATGGATCGTTCATTAGCAATTTTATTTCCTGGAATTCCCAAGCTGATTTATGATTTCTGTTCAGCTTTTAGGACTTCTTTAACCTCTGTTGGACTAATTGTGTACGCATCGCTTTCTTCGGCTCGTATCGGTTTCTTTTCGTTTTCGTGTTATCTTCCGTTTCCACTAGAGTCTGCCTCTGTCCTCTGGCGGTCAGATGATTCTTCCGAGCATTAATTACTGTTTCTGTGTTTTTGGGGGCTTGAGCTTCAGATGGCCACTGCTCCTATTTCGGGAAAAAGTTTGACCCGGAGCCTGGGCGGTGCCGTCGGACAGACGGCAAAAAGTGGCGGTGCTCCAAGGACGCCCACCCTGAATCCCGATACTGCGAGCGCCACATGCACCGAGGCCGAAACCGTTCAAGAAAGCCTGTGGAATCGCAACCCGTCGCCCCGTCGCAGTCGGCATCGACCGTGATCTCCCTTGCCCCTTCCGGGAGCGGCGGAAGTGACAGCAAAAGCATCCCCATGCACCCTGGTACCGGTGCTCAGGTTCCATTCTCTGGCGGCATGAGCTGCTTCCAGTTGCAGCCTGGCACGGGTTCCCATGAAACAGGCAGCAAAGAATTCAGGTCTCTTCTTTCATTCTGTGACTACTCTGTTTTATGGACCGAGTGAAACAACTTGAATAGCACACTGTGATGTCCTCTTATTGGTTTTAATCTGTCAAAAGTCTATTGCTTCTAGATTTCAGGGAGGCGTGCCTTCTGATCTTGCTTTTGAGTCGTATATGAGAAATGCATGTTCGTATCCTGTGGTGGTGTGACATTTGCCTGATGTACTGAACTAAATGCTAATGGCCTCAGATTACCGCAGGGGCTTTCTGCTGTCAGGGAAGCCAATGTGTCTGTGGAGGTTCTTTTGCTCCCAAAATGTGGGTAGAATTGCGCTTAGTTGTCAGTCAGTCTCATGGACAGATGAAATAGTGTTGTAAGCTGACTAGCTTTTCTGCTTCTCTTTTGGTTCTGAGAAGTTAGTTGCAGCTAGTGATACTGGCTTACCAGACAATTGTCTCCTGCCCAAGTGCAAGTCATATGAAAGATCTGACATTTATTTTTTGAAATAGAATCTAAACCTGCCACCTGTTCTCATAGACAAATTACCCGTCCTACTGTTATGCTTGCCTTCTTTGTCTCAAATCTCCAGGTTTGCTGGTTATTATTAGCATCTGGAATAGAAGTTTAGTTCAAATGTTTCATATACATACTTTTCATGACTGAACTGTAACTTCTTTTTTATTCTGTCTACCTTATTACACTCGGTAATGTAATTTTTTGAACTTTTGAAGCTTTTGTCCATAATGATTGATCGAATTGAATTGCTTGCTGCATCTTGCTGGTGACTAAATAGGAAATCACAATCAGCATAGTGCTTTCATTTTTTGTTATAATTTTGACCTGATTCATCTGTTGGACATCATCATTTCCTTCTGCATTGCGCCTAGTTTCCATAAGCCATTCAAACTTGTAAATAGTGTGCATTGAGTAATGTTTTTTTGATAATTCATTAGCTCAATATATGGATAATGTATTGGTATGGAAGTCTTTGTATGGCTTGATGGTGGTGATGATTTTGTTATGCATTTCTTGCTCCTATGTGAAGAATAAATGCAGCTATATTTTTATCGGACGATGATCAAGTGATGTGGCTGCTCATGCTTTGTTGATCCTTTGCAATTCTGATGCATGGTTATAATAATTCCCCTTCTGGTAGAATCGTCAGTAATCTGCTCTTTGATCTTATTACATATAATGAGGGTACAACATTGGTTGACCTGCTCGAATCAAGTTGGTAGGCAAACTTAATCAAGAAAATGACTCACTGTTCTCTGGTATCTGTTACCAAGAGAGAGCGCTTCCCAGTTCTGAAAGTTGTGGATCGGTTGCTAAGCTACTTTTTTACGGTTCTAGTTTTGACTGACAAAGAGTCACTTATATTGAGCATTTGTCATTTTAACTAGAAAACCCAACCGGTTGAATGTCTGAATTTATTCCGTTTGCAACTTCCGTACAGATCTTAATAGTTACAAGAAGGTGATGCTTTGTTTCCCAGTACATGATGCTTTTTTATCTTCGAACATGCAGGTATCCCTATGGAGATAAATCCGAGGCTGGCGAGCATGGTTTCTTTCCGGAGGTTTCTGGAAGTGCAAGAGGCCTCGAAATGGACTTTCCTCTGGACAGCTCATGGGGATTGATGCCATCACAGATGCCAAATGCCCTGGGCTTCGAGAGCAATTACCTGCAGCTTCCTGCATTCAACGATCTCGGACAGGTTACAGTCAGCTCATTGGCAAAGCAGGACCAATCTCAGCATTCTTTCTTCGGGAATGAGTTTGGGTCCGAGGAGCCGGTGAAGCAAAGTCAGGAGCTCCGACCTTTCTTCGATGAGTGGCCAAAGACAAGAGGTCCTTGGTCTGACCTTGAAGACGAGAGATCAAACCGGTCATCGTTCTCCACGACACAGCTGTCCATCTCCATACCTGTGACATCCTCTGACTTCTCCACCAGCAGTTCCAGATCCCCGATCGGTGTGTCCTGCTCTTATGCATTGTCACCTTGATTCTGATCATCCCCCAAGCTCCCTAACTCACCATTTTTGTGTTGTTGCAGATGATTGAAACATGTGGTTCGCCGGTGAAGCTGAACTAGTGGAAGTTTCCTTGATGGCCCTAGTAGTTTTCAGTTCTATTAATCATCATTTATGCTCAATCCTTTTTGTCCTAGTTGACTATTGAGCATTTGTCAACTCCATTTTGAGTAAGTTTATTAGTGTGTGACACTTGAAACTGATGTGGTTTTTGGATTTGAATATGTACTTAGAAAAAAGGCTGCTTGGAAAGCTCATGCAGACAGTTTCTGTGTCTCAACATGTGAGACCTATGTGGTGGTCCAATTATTGAGATGGCGATGCTATCCCACGAATCCAGGTATCAGTTCTATGATGCTGGGAGCATATTGCTTTGTTTCTGCTTCAAGTTTGGGTCCGCGTATCAATGTCTTGCAGCCCTGCGACTTTATTCTACTGAATTGTTGTACCTTTGAGATGCCAAAGTGGAACCACTGGCATCTCGAGCTGAATCGGAAAAGGGGGCATGATCATGTATCATTACTTCCTTGACGGGCTTTGGCTCTTCATCGCCGTAGAGCAAAGCTCGAGGGTTCTGGAAACAGGAAACTTCGATGAATCATAAGTAGGATCATAATTGATGAGGGTTGAACATCTGTTTGCATGATTTTATCTATATTATCATCAAATATTTACTGTCGATGTTGGATTAAAACCCCCAAAAAATTGTATGTTTATTTTTTTTTTTATGTTTTAATATATTGAAGTAATTTAAACAGTAGAGATTAATATCGATTAATGCTAACCGATACGAATTATGATATTGATCGATGATCAATTTTTACGCAAAGGTTGCAAGTGGTTACGAAGAACACTCGTGTAAGACCTATGAAGGAGAGTAACTAGGGTTGCTCATGGCAACGACGAGCCCTTGTGCGAGAGGAATGATCAAGTTTGTCGACAACGATAGTCCTCCCTTGCGTGAGGATTGCAAGTGGCAACGATGAGCCCTCGAGTAGTGTAAAGGATGATGACAGGAGTTTAAGAAAAAAAAAAAATATATATATATATATATATATATATGTATATATATAGTATTTATTAGGAATTAAAATAATATATTCATGGGATTAGGACACTCCACGAAACAATTTCAAATTGGGGGCTGTATATAGAAAATTCTTAAACATACAGGTTTTTTTTTCCGAAAATTCGTCTACTAATTTATCAGTTAAGTTACCCCTAAGTTGACACGTCATATGTGTGGGACCGCCCTCCACGCACACAAAAAGAAGAAGATGGTTCAAAACGCGGACAATCCTCAGATCAGATCCACCGGAGGAGGTGCGAGGGAGCGTGGAGAAGGTGGTGCGGCGGCGGTGGCGGCAGCAATGGAGTCGGGGTGGAGGATGATGTACGAGGGAACGGTGGTGGTGGGCTCGCTGTCCCTGTTGGCATGGGGCGGGCTTTGGTTCTTGAACCGACGCCTGTACAAGGAGTACGAGGAGAAGCGCGCCCTCGTCCAGATCCTCTTCAGCCTCGTCTTCGCCTTCTCCTGCAACCTCTTTCAGCTCGTCCTCTTCGAGATCCTCCCCGTACTTTCCAAGAAGTTCGCCTCTTTCTCTCCGTCTCTCCCTCTTGTTTGATTTGCTATCAAGATTACGCGTCTCTAGGGTTCCGGATTCCATGGCTCATTTCTTGATTCTAGGGATCGTTTTTTCGAATACAATTTCCCCTTTGATTTCAATTTCTTTAAGTGTTCTTTGGATTCTGGGGCTCATTTCTTGATTCCAGGGATTGTCTTTTCGAATACGATTGGCCCTTTGATTTCAATTCCTTGAAGTGTTCCTTGGCGATCTTTGAAGCAGTTTTAGCTATATAGTTATCTTCTTTTTCTCTCTTAGTTTTGCCTAGGCCTTTCGCAGTAGATCTTCCGTTTTGGTGGCTGATCTTTCTGTAATATAGTGACACTTGGCTGATACTACTCCATTGCGTATAGATCTCCCCATGAAATGCTTTTGTCTTAGTTGGTTACATTTATTTCTTGATGCTGGTACAGGTTTATCTGGGATTTGGCTTACATGCGTTACATCTAGTAGTCTTTTGGTTTGCAGGGCTAGATGGATAAACTGGAAGATTGATCTATTTTGTTTGATCATGTTGCTGGTTTTTGTATTGCCGTATTATCATTGCTATTTGATTCTCAGGAACAGTGGTATGTTCTGCAGCCCCATGACCCTTTGCAACTCTTCTTTCAATTTTCATGTTTGTGATATATACTGAAATCATGTCATGAACATTTTTAAAATAAATAATGGCTGTATCTTTTAATTGGTCGCCCTATGCTTATTTAGAATTTAAAGGAATGTAGAAGGAAAAAAAAATGTAACTAGAAATTTGAATATAGGCAAAATTTTCTGGAATGAACAACCTTATATCTTTATACCTGATGTTATTATCATCCTAGCCAATTCTCACTTCTAGAAAGTGGGTTATATGACTGTTGGATATTATTATCATTCTACTCATTGGTCATTGTTCCATTATGATTGGTGAGACACTTAACAGAAAGTTTGGGGAGGGGAGGTATACATAAGGAGAAATAAATTGATTTGCTGTAGTTGTGAGCTATAACTGATGTGCTGTTTCCCAGTCTGGGATGCTCATTCCGATTCCAACTGAGCTATGTTTCACTGACACAGAATATTTCTAGATGTTAGACTATTAATCTGGTAGAATCTAGTGGGTTTGACTTGACCCCAAGTTATTGCTGCAGCATGTGATTTTTGGTCTGTGTGCAAGTGAGATTTCGGTATTATAATTGGCATTCTTAAGAAAACTCCAAGAGGTCAGTGGGACAAAGAAAGGTCATTTGACTGTTTAATTGTGATATACGAAGTATTAACTTGATGATTTAAACTAATATGAATTATGAACCTTTTTTATGATGGTTTAATATTGTCCTACCAACTCGATTGTCTCGAACTTCAAGTAGAAGATGTAATGCAGTGTTTTCCTCGCCTGAGCACATCGCAAAACCTCTGGGCAAGACATTTCGATGAAGCACCGCTCGAGCGCTTGCTTGAGCCCAAGCACCTCGGGTGAGCACCCGAGTGAAGTTGGGTCGGGGTTCACGCCTTGTTCGATTAAACGCGCAAGTTGGTTCAATCAAACCAACTAATGCCCCCCCACCCCCCCACCCCATGGCCACCGCCTTCGTCCGCTGCCCTCTCTTTCCTCAACAGCCTTCAATTACTCCTCTTCTCAGTTCCCTCTTTTAGAACTGTTTAGCACCATATTGATCCACTCTTTAGAACTCTCTCTTTAGCACTGGTTAGAACCCTGTTTAGCATAGGTTTCCATTAGTAGAAACCATGTTGTGTCATATTTATTTTTATGATCATATCTATCAATCATAATATATTTTTAATATTTTAGAACACTTGTTTCACTCGGGCGGGCATCTAGGCGGGTGTCTAACGCCTCGGACATTTTGGGACCTTGGCGCCTAACGTTTTTAAAAACACTGATATAATGTTGCTTTTGTGTATTTATTTCTTTATGTTCTCCATGGGATCTCAAATGTGTGTGGTCTCTCTCAAGCTCTTTAACAAGGTGAATGTAGTTCACATCCAACTTTACATCTTATTAAATGAAAGTGTTTAAGTGTGGTTGTCCAATAATTTATTGTGGGCTTGTATTATTTGTTTATGCTTGGTTCATTGATGTATTAATTGATACAAATTACTTTTTTTGATCACAGCGGTGAGGAAAGAACGAGCTGCATTTGGAGCTACCTTATTCTTGCTTGCATTTCTTTATGTTTTTTGGCGCTTGGGAATTCACTTTCCTATGCCTTCTCCAGAAAAAGGTTTGATTCGAAAACTTTTATATTTGATGGAGGTATTCCATTGTTTGGTAATCGTTTCATTACCCTAGCCCATTAGTCTTGACTTAGGCTTTCCCAGACTCGTGACATCTTGACCTCATATGTTGTCCTTTGAAGTTACACTTCTTTGGCTGGTTCCGAGTCCTTAAAGATCCTTAACCAGTTTTAGTTTACAAATAGGACAAATGCATTTGCATTTGTTTGTGATTTGATTTATTCTAACGTCACAATCATAATGTCATAATGTATTAGAAATTTGCAGCAATAGTAGTTTGTCCCTAATACGATCACTTGCTCTACAAGTTCGATTGAGCTGCTGCAACAAACAACTTTATTAAAAAATGTTATGCAACAACTAGAAATAAATAAACTAGTGCTTGAAAAATAGAATTCTTTTTTCTGAATGGCAAAGTTGTTATCTAAGATGCACATGGAGTTTTAATCTATGCATTTAACATTCCTAAATACGGTCCACTGTGAGCCTAGAATTCAGCTACTTTCTAGGCCTTGATGAGATACTCAATTTAGTTACCAGTTTAATTGGTCTGCCAGTGTAGTGGCTGCTTAAGAAATTGAAATATCTGCAGCATGGACTGGAAATTGATTGATGTCTGTCAAGGAAAGTGTCAATGTTGTGTGTTTGTGGTTTGCCATATTAAAGTTCCACGCCTATAGTAGCTTCTTTTTTTTATCTTTCTACTCATGGCATTACGGCATGTAGTACCTTATTTCTGTTCTAACTTCTAAGAATTCATTTTTTGCAAGCATGAGTGTCAAATATAGGTGGAAGATATTTATTTCCCCTAAAGTTCAAATAAGAAATTTTGGGTCTGTCGTTCACATCTAAAATATGCTCTTACCATGTCATAAATATTTTAAAGCTGCTGAATACCAATTTTAACAAAGTGCATGCTACGATTCTTTTCTTTGCAGGTTTCTTCACTACACCTCAGTTAGTTAGCAGAATTGGTGTCATAGGTGTCACTGTCATGGCCGTACTATCTGGCTTTGGAGCTGTTAATCTTCCATACAGTTATTTATCCCTATTCATCAGGTGTATTTAATTCATAGAATTATTTACTTTATGTGTTTTTTCCTGGTTAAATGTTTCTATAAAATGATACATACAAGGAGGTTCTGCTTTGTGAGTTGAACTTGACAAATGCAATTACCTTTTAGAATTAATAGTAAGTGGACTATTGTTATTTTAGTGGTTTAAGCCTTTTGGGTGTTTTACGTAGCTTACTTGTTCAATGATCTTGGATACTCCTTTACATTTATGCATAGGGATGGGAGGTTCCCCAATGTATACTACAATGTGCAGCTCACAATTATCTTATTTGCACTTCATAGTCTTGATCTGTGAGGTACCATATTAATTGAAACTTAGCCGTGCACTGTCGTCTTGTACTCTCGAGTTGGCTGAAGCCTGAAAAGGTATTAAAAACCTGTGCCATACCTTAAAAAGACTCTAGTTGATTGTTTTCAGCGGATCTTCTGTCCTGAACTGTTGTGAAAATGAGTAACCATCTGTTAGACCACATGCTAGAATGCTTGATTGCCTTCAGAAGCAAGATGCTTCGATAATGCTGAAGTGCTTATCTAGTCATGCAAGATGCTTAATTCTTGAATACAGCTGCAAACTTATTATTTCCAGTCCAATTGAATTATTATTGATATCTTGAAATTCCTTTTAGGGAGATTGAAGAATCAGATATTAAAGCTTTGGAGAGACAATTGATGCAATCAATAGAGACCTGCATTTCAAAGAAGAAGAAAATCATTTTATCCCAAATGGAGATGGAGCGGATTCAGGGATCTGAAGAGGTAATGTACATCTAACAGAAATGTTTCTCGTGTTTCCACACCAAAAGTTAAAGGTGCAGTAGCTTGAATGTTGTGAAATAGCCAAATTAAAAAGTATCTAGAGTCACAAACTGTTAGTGTTGGTCAAGTTTGGCGACCATGGTTGCATTGGGATTCTATATCCTATACAGATCCTCATCCATGTATTCCCATGCTCGAAATTCCCCAACTGAACACCAAATCTGATCTTTAGGAGATGGAGAAATCTGTGGAATTTGGATTTCTATAGAATGGCCAGGACTATGATTTGGCACGTATGGCTTTCTTGTTCGAAATGATTTTGGACATGACTTTCTTGTTGGAAACAAAGTCTATATCGCTTCCTCGTCTCCTAGTTCCCATGTATTTCTTTTCTCGTCTAATTCATCAAACTTTTTGCCATTTGGATAATTGGGATGAGTGGTGGATTTAGAGGGGTAGCAGGGGCCACAAAGTTAAAAGATTCTTTATGTATGAAACTAATTATGAGCTTTGGACTTTGGTTCTAATTGGGATCAGGGGTGGCATGCATTAAACTTAACATGGTTCCATGTCATTATGAGCTTTGGACTTTGGTTCCAATTTTCCTTTTTGAAGATTCTTACTGTTGTGTTTTATATGATTGCGAAACTATAGTTGCAATATTTTAGCCACCTATCTAAGTATATGGTATAGGTTCGAATCTCATTCTTGACAAATGCACCCTAAATAGTTGGAAATTATGGCTTTGTTGTTGTTGTTTTTGTTATATCTAGGCATATGGTATAATAGGTTACCTTGAATTTAATTTGGTGTTGTAATTTCAATCATGCCCCTTTTTAGCTACCTCTAAATTTATATCAAAGACGTATGATACGTACTGTAAGTGACATCTATGGGAAATTTGATTTACTTGTAGCCATGTGGCACACATGTGGCCTCATATATGTATCATAAATGACAATTGTGACAGAAACTAACTTTGCACCCTAATTGTGTACTTATTTAAGGGGCTTTTGGACCACTTATGAAAGACGTATACATGTTTCATTTAAAATCTTCGATATGTGATAAATAGCATGTGGAATTCCCCAATAGGTCTTCCATTGAGTTGGCTACTGTTGAGAGCAGATATGATGATTTGGTTGGATTAGGCATCTTCTCATTTGTGTTAGTTCATATGTTTGCTTTGTACATCACCAATCCCATAGTTACCTGCTATCTTTCTGCTTACTTGGTATGGATTGGTTCAGTTTGGTTTAAAAAAGAAAAAAAAAGAACGGTTATTGTTTGGACTAAGAATTTGAAATCTAGCCAAATAGAACTATAAGAAAAAAGTTGAACCTAACTTCAACTTTTTCAGTTTGATGATTTGTTAATTCTAGAATGAATTGTTTATTAAGATGTTGTGTTATAAATAATTACACTTTGCATAAAGTATCGTTTATTCATAAGGATCAAATAGATTATAGAATACATTGTTAGTATATTATATATGATCGAACGCTGCTAGATTCAATATTTCTAAGTTTGAAATCTTTTCTTATTAAAAGTTTGAAATATTTTCATATTAATACACATATATTGGTGTGCACTATTTGGTTTGGACAATTCTGCTTGAATGCCAAATCAAATCGGACCAGAAGTTAGACTTTCACTTTCTCGAACAAAACTGAACCGGTCATTGTAGAAAACCCAAAAATATATCAGACTGAGTGTTGGTTGGGACTGTTTTTTTTATTGGCACTTCTGCACAACCCTAAACCTTAACCATTATTGGGTCTTTTGCATCCTGATTCATAAGACACCTTACCTTTGTGTTTGTGGAGTGTGGATAATATTGTTGAAAGCTGGGACAATTTCTTAAATGTCATTGTTTATAGACATAACCCAGTTAAAGACAAATGTAATCACATCAGACATTCCTATTCTGTAACTCACTTAAGATAGAGCAGAGCGACAAAGGAGTAAACGGTAAAATGATATCTAAAGGTCTTCTACGGCCATTATTTTTGACCTAATCAAATGCATAAGTTCTGATTTAAATAATCATAGAAATTTATTTGACATTGTAAGCGATCTAATTATGATTAAAGAGAACAACAATAAAAAATGACAAACCTATCATGTCTATCTCTTACATGCCATGATCCAAGCAAAGCGGTTCTATTCATAAACCACACCCACATGTTATGTCACCCCGTATTCCAAGAGCAAAGTTAATGAGCACACCATATTTCTTTGTTGTGTCACTAGGGCTTTGTTAAGCAAGATTTCAAGTTTTGTTCACTTATCGGACCGGTATGGCCTTGGTACATACTGACGTACTGATGGGCATGGACCAAACAGAGAGAGGGGGAGAAGAGTGGAGGGGAGGAGGAAGAATGGAAGGAGAAGTAGATGGTGGAGAGGAGGAGGATGAGGAAGAGGAGGAGAAGGAGGCAACGGAAGAGGAGATGAAGCAGAGGAGGGTGCTGCAACACAGTGGGGTAATGAGGTGGCAGAGCAGCGGCTTGATGCATTGGTTACCGATCCGACAACTGGTTCTTAGCCTTTGACTAGTATCCATCAGTGTGGGTTGGTATACTGCTCGATGCATCGGTACTGCACCGGTCCGATAGATTCCTTATATAGGTATCAGTTAGAAATTTAAAAACTTGGTATATAGGTACATATCAAAGCAGAGCTGACACTTCAATCTTGAATGTGGGTTCATAGTATATTCTTTTTATTTTGGTTGCAGATCCTTTGATCTTGTCTGGCTGTGCTTTTTGGTTTCTCTATGTTAGTCTTGTAAATTAAGTTAGGAAATCAAGTTCTTTGGAATACTTGTTACCTAGTCAGCTAGTCTTGTGTCTTGGTCATTTTTCTACTACTTGTGAAAGAATTATCACATGGAAAGAAAATAAATTTATCCTATTGTTTCTTTTTCTGCTTTATATACTAAGCATGTGCTTTATGAAGTTTCAAGATGTTTAACCTTGTTTTTTTTTGTATAATTTTCTTTTATTCACGTATGCATCTCATCAAGAATTTTCTTTGCAGAAGCTAAAAGCTAGTTCTTTCCTAAAGCGCATAGTTGGAACAGTCATTCGGTCAGTACAAGAAGATCAAAGGGAGCAAGGTATGATTCTGTTTCCCAATAATTTAAATATTTGTCAGATATTGTTCAAACTGGGACAATACTGGCCGTATACTGATCTGTACCCCTGGTATCACCCTAAAAAGAGTAAAAAGATAATATTGATCAGTGCTAGACAATATGGTCCAATACCAGTCCTTGGTCACATCAGTAAATCTTGGTTGGTACCAGGTTTCACCATTTCGAGTACCGGACCCATCACGGAGATATATTGGGTTGGTATATATATCAGTTTGTACCGGTGTGCCAACACATGGTATGCTAGGGTATGCCGATGGGAACTCGGGTGATTCACGTCTCGGTTGCCAGTCGGACCAGTCTATACGGCCCGTACCGTACCAACTCGGGTGGTACAACAAACGTTGGTTGGTATTATTCATACCAAGCAGCATATGAACCATGGTTTATGCTTTATACTGCCTTCTCACAATCATTTCAACAACTTTTTACCAGTGTGCATTCTTTATAGGACTGGCAGGTTCTGGTGTAGGGGGTGTTGGAGACGGATCTTACACAATGCAGAAGAGAAACAATTGGTGTAGGTGGAGAATGTTGCATGGGTGATGAGAATCGCAGAGCAATGATATCCATGAAACTATGTTGAAATGAACATTTTAAGATTGGAAGTTTGTCTGAAAGGTATCTTGGAGGTAATTGGAGCACCAGATTATTGTTTGTTGATGGATTCATGTTACATGCAAGAGTAGGTTCCAATTGTGACTACTTCAGTGGGAAACTAGCTGAGAGCACTAAAACTGGAAACTCTTTATATCACATGGGACTTTAACCTGTTCATTATCAGTTAAAGTTCAAATTTGCCCTCAATGATCTCATGCTTCTTATGCACTAAAGCCCATAATGAGCTTTATGTTTTTGATTTAGGTTGGTCACGGACTAAACGATCTCCAGATTTTCAGTATAGGTCTTTCTAGATGCAACAGCATTTTGTCAAATACATCATTGTGCTGTCACAGTGGTTACTGTCACAGTGGTTACAGCCTACGAATGCTGCAGGCATTTTGACAACTGACTGGAAACACTTGTTGAATCATTAGCAGTAACTACATTAAATTTTTTGGGGAACAATTGAGACGTGGGGAGCACACTGTACAGTTGGTTGCACCAGTTGCAGCAAAGAGTAAGATTTATAATGTTGCAAGCAATAGGCTTGGTGGAAACAGATGAGGATATGTGCACATCATGTGTAGTGCACTAATATGATAGTTGATGGTCAACAGTATATGAAATAGCATTTATTGTTGCTAAGACGTTGAGTTTGTAATATAGGAAATATGAATATTATTGTCCTTTAAAATGTTGCATTCTCATTTCTTGAATCAGTGCCACCTTTTATCGATTAGATAATACCTCTGTAGGTTTTCTATCTCCCTTTTAAGCATTTCAATAATGTAGAACTGAATAAATGTGCATAAAGTTGGACATCTCCAATGAAAGAAAAAGGAAATATAACCAAACTTATCTCTATTTGGTTCCTTTGACTTTTGATGCTACCTTTGTGGCATTTGTCTTGTAATTAAGGATGCAACAATAACAACAACAGGCCTTCAAGTCTCAATCATCTGGAGTCATTAAGGAAACAACTAGTCCTTCAATCTTTTACTTGTCAATTTCTTTAGTGCTTTTTCTTTTAATCAATGAGTTATTTTTTTATGTTGGTTTCTATCTTACGTACCACTTGATCAGGAATGTGTTTATGATGGATATTATCTCTAATTCTCTGTGAGTCTATGTCTGCTCTTGTGTTGGTATATGTTTCTTACTAAGATATTTGGAAAAGAAGAATTGCATCTATCAAGTTTGAACACTAGGTAGAAAATTGTTGATCTTTTTCTCATAGATTTTTGTAGACAAAGTTTTATAGCATATTTTTTGGTTCTTGGTAGAAATATCTTTATCCTAATTCTTTTGCTAATCTTTTGAAGATATCAAAACCTGGGAAGCAGAGGTACAAGCTTTGGAAGAGCTTTCAAAGCAGTTGTTCCTTGATATATATGAACTTAGGAAGGCTAAGGTTTGTTGTTAATATTCGTTACATGAAGTATATTTCCTATTAAATTTTAATCGGGTGCAGTCCAGGTGCATGCTTGAGCCCAATTGTTAGGCAACTTAGGTGAGTGCCTGAACCAAATCATATTGGATGGAACCATGGCACATGCTTGAGCCCAGTGCTAGGCAACTGCCAATTTTTATATTGTCGAGCATCTCGCTTTGCTCAAGTGAGCACCTAGGCAAGCGGCTAGCACCTCGGTCATTTTGGAACCATGGTGCTGACAAAACTGCTTTCTAGAACCTCGAACAAGTGGGTTGGTGACTTTTATCAAGCAACACATGGTTCAGTATTTTTTTTTTCTGATTTCCATCACTTAGTGTTGGTCCGCCCTTCAATTTCTATAGCAAAGATGTTCAGTTATGATGCATCTTATGCTACAACGTAACTTCCATTATGATTTCTTTTACTTGAGACTAGTACAATCAACATGAAGCCACCTCATGGGCCTTGGGGTTCATATTAGAAATCGTCACTGAGTTATTTTCATCTTTGTAGTGCATTTATTACAAGGTTCCAGAAATTGATTGATGCTAATTCAGATCATCATGAGATGGCATACAAAACCCAAAATTCAGGAAGCCGGGATCCTAATCAACCTGAGATGGGCTTATCTGGACCTGTCACAAGCCTATTTGATGCTATCTCTAGATGTTTCATGTTAGTCCCAGGTTGATCATGTTGGATCGTTAGCTTGTTCCAGCCAATACTGACTTATCAATCCAATGGGCCTGTTCCCAGCCCACCTATAATATATGTTCATTGTCCTTTTCAATTAATTGGTTTAACAATGAAAATTTTGCTTTAGATTACTTCTGGAAGTTCTTTAGACTGCATTTTTTTAACACCAACAGTAAAATTTTTGCAATTGTTACTGCAGGAGTTCCCATTTTACATATTCTAATTACAAAATATGAATTCAGAATCTATACATTGACTTTGCACTGTTTGTATATCTTTATATTCTGGATTAAATTTTCACCTTGCTGCTGGTCATTCTTTGTCATGTGAATTGTCTAATGATATTGTCCTATTACATCGTTGTTGTTGGGCTGTCTGACTAACGCTACTTTCAGGTAGCAGCTGCTTATTCACGGACTTGGAAAGGGCACCTGCAGAATTTGTTGGGCTATGCTTTGTCTGTTTATTGTGTTTACAAGATGATAAAGGTATCAACTGACTTATGTGTTATTTGGATGCAATTGGTGATGGTTGCTTGTGAAAATCTGAGCCTTCATTTTTTATCCCCAACATTCTTTCTTCCATGGGTTATATCTTACTGTTTTGTGGTGTTTAGATGATTGGAGTTAGTACTTAGTGACTTAGTACTGCTATATATCCGACATGATGTAGACAACTTGCTCATTTCATCATAGTAGGGAATCTAGGGACTAAATGAGCATCTTAATCCAAGGACAGGTATGAAGGGAATTGACAAATCCATCTTGTTGCTGTTGAAATAAGCATAATCTTGATCGAATGTCTCATATAATCAGTAAAAGAAGAGAATGTATGAATGTGAATTCTTATGCAGTATCTTCGTTTTCCTACATAACTCTATTCAGGAACATGGGAACAGCTAAAAAGTTATATTTACTAATCTCTGCACATGTTATACATGTAGAGTGAGAAAAATAGGGTCGTATAGATCATGAAGCTTGGCATCCATGAGACTCCATTAAGACACATATGAGGCTCCATATATCTAGACTTATAAGATGAGAGTTCCAGTAATATGTGCAAATGACAGTCTTTGAGCATGCATTGGTCTCATTTGGATGCTGTTGCATCATAATATCTAGTATATCTTATTTCAAATGCCAAATAGTGACATTTGACATCTTTGATGACTATTTTTTGTTATGTATCTATTCATTTTAAAATAAGTAATTTCTTCTCTTTTTTTCCTGTAGCACTGCTTTCATTAGTTTGATTCCTTTTGGTTTTCTTTTGCAGTCTCTACAAAGTGTGGTTTTTAAGGAGGTATGGATTGTACATGACCTTTGTATCAAGCTTCCCATTTGTTTTATGACCTAAATTGATTTTTCTACTACTAGATACTTTTCAGTTTGATTACTTCTTTTTATTTTATTACGATCATTTTTGTATGTTCTTCTAGTAGATAGATTTACATCTTTCTTGCAATGTGACAGGCAGGTTCTGTGGATCCAGTGACAATGGTGATCAGTATATTCTTGCAATTGTTTGACATAGGAATCAATGCTGCTCTTCTGTCGCAGGTTGTAGTCCAGTATTCCAAATGATGATATCGGCTAATCTGTGAATTTTACTTGGAAATTTAAAAATACCATTTTCCTGCATGATCTCTCATTGTGTGAAATGTTATGGTCTTGTAGTGGTCAACTATACATCTTGACATCTGATGTCTGAGTTATTAAAAAACAAAGTTTGACTAACCTATTTACCATGCTGCAAATATATTCTTTGGTATAAATGTCAGCTGTGTAGCTGCAGTTGAATGATTGGGTGGAATACCTTGCCACATTATATCTTGTATGAGCAAATTCAAACAGAAGCCTAGTTAATGACCTTGTCTTCACCTATAGATGAGCAATTTTTATGATAATAGGCCATAATGTCCCAACTATTTAGGGTCAAGGACCTGTGTCTTTTTGACCGTTGAGCTTCAGCTAGAAAAAATATTGCTAGTCAAACTAAAAACAATGGGGCCTCCTTTATTGCTTTTAATAAAGTTTTCTTAGATCTCAGTACATCTAAGATATCGGTAGATCTTGTTTGGACATGTTCATATCATATTAAATGATTTTCACCATTTAAGAGTTATATCTAATTATTTGTGAATGTTAATATTTTTCTTCTATTAATTTTGGTGAACTCATATATCCACAACATCTTCATCTGAGCAACAAACTTTTTGTATATAATTCCTAATTGCTGAGAATTCCAAAGCATAAAGCATACTTGGTTTTATAATTGTCTTATTTTTTAATCTGTTATGGCAATTGCGTAAAACTCATTCATGGCACTTTGGACTTTAACCATTACACTATAAAGCTATCAATAATGTGTTCAACCTCTGTTCTTCTTGGGAAATCATGGTCATCTGTTTGACGATATATTCAGCAATTTCTAGAAGGTTTTGATTTATTAAGCAATTATTGCACAACCAAAGCTTGCTTCATTTCCCTTTATATTATTTTCATCTCTATATTCTTTTGTTGTATGGACTGATGTTGCATTTGCTGGTGTCATCTTTTTATTTAACAGTATATATCTTTGCTATTCATTGGGATGTTGATTGTCATTTCTGTCCGAGGCTTCTTAACAAATCTCATGAAGGTAAACTTCCTTTTCTTTTCGGAGGAGACAACTTTTTTCATGTTCTAACCATACATAAACCCTTTTCATTTATGTTCTAACCAGGGATAAAATGTAGAATATAAGGCTTATAAGGAAAATGAATATGGTTACATTATGCTACATTTCATTAATGTAGAATATTATGCTACATTTACATAGAATATTATGCTGCATTTCGTCATTTATGTTCTGATCAAAACTGAAAATGAATCTGGCTTGTTATAAGGAAAACATATTGACATGTTTTTTTTTTTTCGTGTTGTGGGATTGTACTGGACCTTCAATATGACTGATACCTCTTTTTATCCTTTTATTTGCAGTTCTTCTTTGCAGTTTCTAGAGTTGGAAGTGGATCATCTACAAATGTTGTCCTTTTCCTGTCTGAGATTATGGGCATGTATTTCGTGTCATCGATCCTTCTTATTAGAAAAAGTCTAGCAACTGAATACAGGTATGCTTATCTTCACTAGAAAGTTGTCCAAGAATGTGATCGCAATGTGAACTAAGTACTGGATCCCGTGATGTTACAGTTCCTTTGAGATAATCTTTCTTTCATTCTTCACTTTGCGGTAAATTATTACACATTTTTTCATTCATTGACATAAAACTTGCTTGTACTGGGAGTTGCTAACAAGGACAAAGTTGTTGACTTAAAAAGTTTGGATACCACAAAGAGTCATCCCACAATGCAACCAAACGAGCACACTACTTGGTCTCTAAACTTTTGTCACTACCTTTCTTTAGATTTTATTATTATTATTATTTCTCTCTAAATGTTCACTCTGCAGTATGTGATACTTGCAGAGACCAGGCAAAATGGTATAGGATAGAGAAAACCATAGTAAAGATTCGAATCTTTTTAATATCTGACAACGTGCTCTTTTACTCTTAATGTTCTCACTTGGAAGTCCAATTTCTTTGAGCATGAAGGAAATCTTAATATCTACTTTGAAACTTCTTAACTCAGTGTGCCATTAAGAATGCAGGATGTTCTAGTACTTTGTGGTGATTATAGAAATATGGCTTTCTTCAAATTGATTGTTTGCTCTTTTCAATTTTACGTTGGGCCTCTTCCATGACCCTTCAAAATGCTTTCATGGTAATAGCATCATATGAATTATAATCCACGAGCCATGAAGCACTCAAGGCATACTATAGATAAGCCCACATCAACCAATATGTTTATGAAGAAGAATTATTCTTTGCTCCCATTTATTAAGATCAAATGGTTAGACTATTACTGTTGTGTAATTGTCTTTCTCTGGGTTTTATTTGTTGGTTAAATCTTTTTCCTCTTTGTAACTTCAAATCAGAACTAATTGCAAAGGCTAGTTCCTCCTCTATACATCTTGAGGAAGCCAACCTTGCAGATCTCTACAGAGCTTAACATTTCTGTCAATGTACATTTATTCATCTTGTTTGGGATAAGAAGGAAAATAAAAATAAAAAAGCCAATCAGCAAGTCTGGGTCTTTTCGTCATTCGCTCCAGAATGTTGTGCATCTATATTCCTGCCAGAATGTTCCAGAAATGTTGAACATATCTTTGATTGAGAAGCTTGCTTTTTGTTCAACTTTTGTTATGGTAAAATGATTTAATGAAATCCTGTTGATGTTGGTGGCAGGTTAATTATTACTGATGTTTTGGGAGGTGACATACAGTTTGATTTTTACCATCGCTGGTTCGACGCAATATTTGTTGCCAGTGCCTTCCTGTCCTTACTATTGCTTTCTGCACAATATACTTCACGGAAGGCCGACAAGCACTCTATTGATTGATTTCTTGATTGACATCTTGATGTAAATATGTAAAATAAAAAAAAATATTTTTTTTAATATTTCTATTTGTACAAGCCATTAGTCGCCCCCCATTATGAATGATCTGATCTTCGAGTTATCATGTTTGGAAAATTGTTTGGAGATCTGACAACAGATGAGCTAATGCCTCTCCCACATGCAACCTAAGTTTTTTTTTTCTTAAAATTGTATTTGAATACACCATACACTTAGTGGTTCTTTCATAATGTGACATCTCTGGCTTTGTCTCTGTGTCTCCCAGTGCAAATTGCAGATTTGATGACACAATCTATTGATGATCATTATTTATCATGATGATAGAGAATTTATCAGCGGTTGACTTGCAATCTTCACATGTCATTCAAGATATTTTCCATCCGTATTAGAGAAATATATATATATTTTGTTCATTATGGTAAGAGAGATGATCACAATTTTGTTTTCTCTCTTCAAGGTAATTTTAAGGTTTTTTTAATAATAAAAAAGAATTTTAATTTTTTTATGATAAGGAAGATAATTTTAATTTTTTTTTCCTTTTATGATGAGGAATGATATCATATCTAGGACCTTTGATTACTATTTTTTTTCTCTCTTCTGACCTTGGTTTTTGTGCGGGTGTCACCTCGGGAGCGTAACACTTCTACTTTGAAAGCATAATATTTTCACCTTGAGAGCACAATACCTCTATCTTGGGAGCGTAATATTTTCATCTCATGAGCTCAACATCTCGATCTTGGATCCATCTTAGAGCCATCTCGGGAGTTTGACACCTCTTCCTCGGAGTCACTTTAGATAATTATTAATACATGGATCCGGACCACATCGGGTTAACTAAGACTTCAATCTCTAATGGTTTGGTGCTATAAGGAGGGCTTGATGGTGCAGCAACGTCCACCTACCAACCTCTCAACGAATGCTCAAGTGATGAGGCTCTGCCTCCGATCCAAAACACTTTTACTTGGGGGGGGGGGGGGTAATTGCTCTCCTATGTGGACCTTGGCAAACACCGATGAGGCACAAGCGCTTGATCAACGACCTAAACCCCTCACCCCTAGGGATGAACTCGAGTCACCTGCTTGTTCCCATCGAGGTGTTCTTGAACCTCGCTCATCGGGTGTAGATGCTTATGAACATATTGTAAGTTGTTGCCCTACTCAACTAGTTGAAGGATTATTATTGAATAGTCAGATATAGACGTTTCTATTGAGGTGTTTCAATAATAACATTGAGGGATTAGTTGGGAGATGAGACACATAAACGATCTATATTAGATACTTTATCGTATAATCATTCAGTTCAATATTATATTTTGGAGTACCTCTTGAGTGTTTATTTTCATGTCACCTTATAAGATCTGAAGTTTACAGTATTTTAAAGTACGTATCAAGTATTTGTCTCATAGTATTCGGAAGTACGAATCTATCAATTCTTTGTTTTAATGTCAGCCTCATGAGATGTCGAGTTTATGCATCCAGAAAGCGTTGAGGTTACAGGGAACTTTGTCTTGGCAAATAGTTTATAAATTCGTTTATTTGCAAGATTATGAAACTTTTGAATTTATTCAGATTGATGTTTACTAAAGAATCATTTATTATTTCAATCACTTAAAATAAAATAGTTTTAGAAATAAAAGAACAAACACATCAGGCAGGAAAAGACCTGTAACCTTCTTTCGCATAACTTAATCATCCATCTCGTGCAGCGGAACCACCAGCCTGAAACAGTTTTCTTCTATGATGGGGCAAAAGACGATCCACGAAGAGTTTGAACTGCACAATAAAACATCGCAGAGACATCACTTGCCAAATTGACTGAACATAGTTTATGTTTCCGCCTAGAGATCATCCACTGAGGTAACTTCACAACAGGTAATATCATCACTGCATCGGTGCAGCGGAAAACCAAAAACAAAAATGTAACATGTAAAAAGAAACACATGTCCATGGTTGCCAACCCGAAGAAAGATAAAAGAAGAAAAAGGAAAGGAAAGAAAACTACTCAGCTAGTATATCTCGTCATCGGGAACCTCTGGTGTAAAATATTTCTTAGGATCCTTGTACATCTCGTCGTAATTCAGTTTGGGCTTCACTTTGTCTGGCACCGGCATAAGGGAAATGATGGAGTCCCGGTCGATAACACCATCGATGATCCCATACTCAACACCCTCGATAGGTGACATGTAACGATCCCTATCTATATCCTTCTCAACTTGTTTGAAGGTGCGACCGGTAAAACCTGAGATGATTCTGGTAACGTTGTCCTTGTTATGCATAATCTCTTTGGCCTGAATCTCAACATCCAAGGCTTGGCCACTGGCTCCTCCAAGAGGCTGATGAATCATTATCCGTGTGTTGGGCATCGCAAGTCGCTTTCCCTTGGTACCACCGCCGAGGATGATAGATGCTGTAGATGCTGCAAAACCAAGTGCTATGGTAGAGACATCTGCTCTCACAAGCTGAACCACATCATAAACGGCCATGGTAGCACTGAGAAAAGAGCACAGCCTTAAGCTCATTATAAAAATATGCAGTAGACATGATTCTGTAGATAATATCAACTTAAAAAGTCAAAGTAACAGGGAAAACATGATGGCGCAGCAGATTAAATCATAAAGTAAACATGTATGTCAAGCATTACGATGTGGAATCTTATCGAAGGAAATGATAGTTATGTGAGTAAAATCTTCAGCTGCTTCCTATTAAAAAAATCCATCGCTGAACAAGAACAGATTTTTGTTAGACTTTCAGAAATTCAACATAGGAATCCTAAAAAAAGATCTAGGGCAAAAGTGCTCAACCATCGATTTTTGAATTGAACTGTTCTATGTTCATTGTAGTTATAGAACATTCTTACATTCGTCAGTTGGCTGGTTGACAATAGAAAGAGTGTTTGCACCTTAACTTGATGCAAAACAACAATTCTGGAAAATAAATATATATCTACATTCCTAAAATAGCACTTGCGAACCAAGTTCAAGAAAATATTGCACTTCATCATAAAGGGAAGACATAACAAGTACATAAGAAATCATGAAGATAAAATTGATTTGCATTCCTCAGTTTCAGCATGCATCAAACTAGCAATGGTCAACCAAACTAACCTAGATCTGTCAGAATCACCACGGAAAGGTGCATAAATTACAAAGTGGTAGCACTTAAATGTTCGACAGAAATGTTGCACAACTAAGGAAAAGAACCAGAGCACCTGTAAATCCAAGAGGGGAAGGAAGCAGTAACAAAGATTTTAGTCGATAGAATGGTACATTAACAAATCATGGTTTTGTACTGCTCTCTGCAGATGTGATCATAGGCTCACACCGTATGCACCATGAATCAGAAAAGCCATATCCTGCCATGTAGCAAATAGCCAATCATTCTACATTGCAACGTCATCACCAAGAGAATAGATATTCTTCAAGACCGGCAGAACTTCAGCTGAAGAGATCGATATGAAGTATATATGTTATAAGAACAACAATAGCTATATGGTGAAAGTCATTTTTCTAGTATCCTATTTAGAGAATGCTAAATATTTATAATATTTATAACAATGATTGAATCATGCAAATTATATCAATTAGCTTCAACTCCCTACTTATACGGACCATATTCGTCAAAGAAAGTTTGACTTCTACAATAAGTTGCTTTGGACATCACAATCCAAGTAGTAGCATGCCGCATTGCCCTAATTACAGCCAATCTCACCATCTTATACATGAATGTCGAACAGATCTCCTCGGTATTCAATTATTTGCAAGTCAATTTCATTCGAACAGCCTATAGTTGAAAGAGAGTAGCAATTAAATTGCAAGAAAAAAGGTTTTGGTTTAAGCCGCATAAACTCAAACAAGAAGATGTCCGACTCCAGATCGCCCAACCACAAACAAAGATAAGAAGAAGGAAGAGCCCCACAATCAAGCGCTTCGAGTTCCACGAGTGTACCTGAGAGAGCCGCCGGCGGAGTTGATGAAGAGGCGGATGTCCTTGGTGTGGTCCTGGGCGTCGAGGAGAAGAAGCTGGCTGATGATGGCGTCGGCCACGAAGTCGTCGATGCTGCTCCCCAAGAACACGATCCGCTCCCGCAGCAACAGCCCCATCACGTCGGACTCCGCCCCCCTCATGGCCGCGGCCGGCGTCTGCGGGTCCGACGAAGCCGGCGAGAAGGAATCGAAGGGGGAGGACAGCGGAGAAGAGAAGTAGCTCTGGGATTCGAGGCTGCCATGGGAGAAGGGCTTCGACGCGGGGGAGGCGGAAGAGACAAGGGCTCGGATGGGGGAGAGGGGAGGAGGGGAGATAGAGCGGAGAGAGCGGGATCTGGGGGAAAGGAGGGTTTTGGGAGAGAGGGAGAAAGAGGAAGGAGGGAGGAGGGAGGAATGCTTGAGGGGGGCGGAGACACAGAGGGAGGCCATGGCGGAGACCGGTGAGAGAGCAGAATGAGAACGAGATGGGGGAGGAGCGGCTTCGGCAACTGCAGCCGAGCGGATAAAGCAGTGACGCTCAACCCTCGTTTCTCACTTTCCTCTCTTTATTATTATTATTATTATTATTATTATTATTATTATTATTATTATTACTGGCATTTAATAAAAGAAAGAAAAAAAAGAGAAATTGTTAGTTGAATTAAAAATTAAGACAAATAATAAAAAAAAACAAGAGATGATTTTCAAGTTCAATTAGTTTTATTTTGGACTAATTATTGGAAAATTTTCCTCTTCTTTTTATGTTTTTACTAATAGGGGTCCCTTTTTATTTATTGTAATCCTAAAATATCCCTTCACAAAATAGTCTTTGAGTATTCCTTATATAGAGTGATTTTTTTATATTTTTATTTAAAAATTATAATCGAGATAAATCGACTCAAAATTTATATAAACAAATATAAATTTAAAAAATATTATTATTGCTCTACGACCAAAAATGATCTAATATCAAATAAAGAGATTTTTATATTAGTTAATTTATGATCCGTTCGAATAACATTACTATGTTTTAAACTTATAAATCGATTAATCAGAAAAGAGAAAGTTATATTATTACGGTGTGTCGGACCTATTTTATGGAATATGATAAAAAAGATTGATTGAAAAAAATGAAAAAGGATATCTCTTGAAAAAAAAAAGAATAAAAAGGTATTTTTATAAAAAATAAAAATCTCATCTTATAATTTTTAATATATAAAAGATTAATCTACTAAAAGACTAACTCACTCTCAATTATAGCGTAGAGGTTACGCGAGGAATTATTTGTTTTAAGTTAAACGGTGAGTGTACCCATATGATTTTATGATTTCATGATGAACGTTAAATTACACCTTTATAGATAAAAAAAAAAAACTTGACGAAAGCTTTTGATTTCCTTACTTCTCAACTAATATGGAACTAAATATCCTTATCAATGTTCCTTCCTTAAGATACTCATTCTAGCATCAATCTAATAAGTCAATATTTGATCAGTTCACCATTAGTAAGACTCATAAGTGTGTGAGGAATTCTCCGCTTTAGACGATGGGCATGCTCGTATTATTTTTTATTCTTTTCCAGTACGTGAGTTCCAAACTATTTTATATCTTCAAAATATATTATACTGTTTATTTTTTACTTATCAAAGATAAATCAAGAACGGATATTTTGCAATTAAATGGTTTCAAGCGTCTAATGATACGAATTCAAAAAACAAAAAAAAAAATCCGAAAAGCAACAGTCAACACAGTCACGTGCTCCGCCGTGTCTCTCCCTCCCTCTCTGTTTCCCCGCATTTGGGGGCGGCTTCTGCCTTGCGGCCCAAGAAAACATGCCTCTTGAAATGACCAAATTACCACCATTGTCGTTCTGACACTGAGGGTTTATCCGGTAAATTGATGGGAACCCCGTCGGCCTCCTGGAAGCTTCCTGGCAACGGCCTGCCACCAATAGACTACCAACAATCTCGGAACGTATACGCTCCTCCGCTATATGTCACCGCAAACATGGTCACCCCCGCAGCCAGCTTCCTCGTCGACGGCTGTTGGCCATTGACTTTCCATCAACGGCTACGATTGATGGATTTAGTATGCGGTAAACGTTGCGCGAGTGACAGACTCCAGGGAACCGACACGAAGACCACGAACACCACCAGATCGCCGCTGTTGCGATATAATGTCGGCGTCGTCCGGTGCGACTAGCAGTCTCCTCTTCCCCTCTCAACTTTTCTTCTCGGTGCGTCTCGATTGAGATGATGATGGTGAGTTCTCGGATGGCCGGGTCGACGCTGCTCAGGCACCTCGGGCCCCGCCTCTTCTCCGGCGCCTCCGCGGTCCGCGGCGCCGCTGCTGCTGGAGGGCCGGCGTGCTCGTCGCTCCTTTCCCGGGCCACTGCGTCGGAGCCCGTCCCGTTGCACCAGCGCCTCTTCCCCGTCCGGATGGCCGGCACCACGGCGACTCCGGCTGTTGGTGGAGACCGAGGGCAGGACGAGGCGAAGCCTTCCGCCGCCGCGAAGGATGCGACCGCGAGCTATTGGGGCGTCCAGCCCTCCAAGATCACCAACGTGGACGGCACCCCCTGGAGATGGTCTTGCTTCATGGTAAGCGATTCCGTTCGTCGATTGGGTTAGTGACCATGATCTCTTCTTCGTCGCCGTTCTCGGTGAATCTTGTTCCTAATGATCTGATCGAGTACGACCGATCCCGTAGCCATGGGAGACGTACAAGGCGGATGTCTCGATTGATCTGAAGAAGCACCACGTTCCCGCGACCCTCCTCGACAAGATCGCGTACTGGATGGTGAAAGCCCTCCGAGTCCCCACGGATATCTTCTTCCAGGTACATAACGCCGCTTCTTCTCTGTTCGTCTTTCCCAAGAAATCGGAACCTCGATGACCTAAAGCCACCGTCGTTCTTCCTCTTATCATCGATTCGTGATGTATTTGCCGTTCGGGATCATCAAGACGATTGCAAGCTTCATTCGTCAGTAGTTGCCGCTATTCTTACCGCGCTTGTTTGAAACAGAGGAGGTACGGTTGCCGCGCGATGATGTTGGAGACGGTGGCGGCTGTGCCGGGGATGGTCGGCGGCATGCTGCTCCACCTCCGCTCCCTTCGCCGCTTCGAGCAGAGCGGCGGGTGGATCCGCGCGCTGCTGGAGGAGGCGGAGAACGAGCGGATGCACCTGATGACCTTCATGGAGGTGGCGCAGCCGCGGTGGTACGAGCGCGCCATCGTCCTCGCGGTGCAGGGCGTCTTCTTCAACGCCTACTTCCTGGGCTACCTCGTCTCCCCCAAGTTCGCCCATCGCGTGACCGGCTACCTGGAGGAGGAGGCCATCCACTCCTACACCGAGTACCTAAGGGACCTGGAGGCCGGCAAGATCGACAACGTCCCCGCCCCCTCCATCGCCATCGACTACTGGCGTCTCCCCGCCGACGCCACTCTCAAGGATGTGGTCGTGGTCGTCCGCGCGGACGAGGCGCACCATCGTGACGTCAATCACTTCGCTTCGGTACGCTTCATTCTGTCTTCTTCTCCGACGCCATTATTGTAGTTGTTGCGGTCACTGAGTGACGACGTTGTGTTTGCAGGACATCCATTATCAGGGATTGGAACTCAAAGATTCACCGGCACCGCTCGGTTACCACTAAATTGCTGCTCGTTGTCGACAGGTAGATAGTTCGCCGGCGGAATACGGGCCATAAATAAGTCTGATGGCATCGATTGCTATGTAGATGATCCTTGCACGAGGAACAAGGATTGCTATCTTCATGTTAGACCACAACTCTGAAGCATCCTATTCGATCATGTGTATTACTCGCTATCTTGTGATAGGGTAAGCTTTTGCTTAGTAGTTGGCTGTGATTTGAACAGTGTGTTTAAGAAGCTGAAACATTGGTCGAGGAGGTACAGACTCCTCCTCTAATATCACTAGCGATCTGTGCTGGGAGTTGCTTCCAAGTTAGCAGAGTCGTGTTCATGTCGAGGGACAGACCGTCTGTTACTGTAGGAATTGAAGGAGGAAAGGTGTTGTTGCTCGGCTTTGTTGGTTTCTATCGTCGCCTCTCGTCCAGTTTGTCTTCCAAATCTATAGTTCTGTAGCAAAGCAAATGAGCATAAGGAGAGCCGAAGAACTCACAAGAAGGATTTTGGAATGGATGGATAGATCAATCAACAGAAAACGGAGGAAAAGGAACCGGCAAGTGATTTTTCAGATGGTACAGCGTCATTCCCTTCATGCCCATTGATCTAAACACCGGTATTGGTGTTTCCTCTGCGAATTATTTACGTAGGTGATCAGGAACATCAAAGCATCCTCAGTGCGCCACTGGAGCTTGTAAAAGTAATAATAATATTGGAGAATGTAAAAGTATTAATTACATATTATTATTTATACTTAGATTCTATTAATATTATGATTCTTGTACTTAAAAAAAATATATTGAGATTCCTATAATTTTAAAAATAAAATAAATAATTTTATTTTTCTTGATGATATTATTTTTTTATTATTTTCATATCGATCCAACACATTGTGTCACATATTATGTGTTTCATCGAAATAGCTGACAATATTAGAATAAATAAGATTATTTATTTTATTTTTAAAATTATAAAGATTATAATATAAGTTTTTTAAATACAAGGATGCTAATAAGATTCATGATAATATGTAATTAACCAAATAAAATTCTATTCACACTTTAGAAATAATTAGACCCAAACCATTATAATGATGAAGATATAATGTATAAAGTTAAAGATGTAAAGATTTTGAATGTTGTTGCAAGCGTCGAAGCATTTTAGTTTCCTAATGTCATGAGAACACAAAGAACATGAGAAAAGAATGAAATAGACAGCTACGACTACTGGCCCATAAACTAAATGTAGGTCCAACTAATTTACAATGCATATAAAGCACAAATTTAATCTGTTGATCGGTTCAAAATTTAAAACATCATCCTATAAAATTATATCCATAAAATATTGATACGATGATAATAATGTTGATCCACTTATTTTTCGTTTACTATAATATCTCTTTCTTAAAAATAATAATAATAAAATCTAAAATAAATCGAGATATAGATGGAGGAGAAGCCTGTGTGAGTCCAATGGGCTCGTAGAAGAAGCTTTTTGATGTATTTTTCCTGGCAGAAGAAAATACATCATGAAGTGTTATGGTCTTTCAAACCAACAAAACAAGAGTTGATGATGCAGCGTATTTGTCAAGCTATGTGCTCTCTTGACTTGTTGACCAAGAAATCATCACCAACAGGATTTTCTTAGATGCTCTTTAACAGTCGTCGTGGACTTCCTTTCTCCTTCGTCAATCGTCAATTAAAGCTCAACACAGATGTTGCTTTTGTTTCCGAGAGCTCAAAAGAAGTCAACGGCATGATCGAATTGGGTTGGATTCTCTCTAAATTTAGTTCTTCGGTGATGATTTAATGGATATGTAAGTGCGAACTCCTCAAAATTCGAATAGGTGGGTGGAGTCCATTGATCAGAGAAGTCTGTGTTGTAAGATTAACACAATCAAAATTGCAGAATCCCATCATAACTATTTTTATCTGTCAGCACTGCAATTTTCTTGACATGAATGGAGCTTTATTTTGATGAAGACAGAATTCGAGCCCAGGATTTTGGAACACCGTTACCAGTTAGTGGCAGTTGACCACCTATATTCCCTGTGGTTGGATTCGCAGACTCAACTCGCTTCCACCGGCAACACCAAACAGTTGGTAGCTTCCTTTTGCATTCAGATCCAAGAGGACTGTGCCTGCATCGTTGCCGAGCTTGCTGTCCTCGTGCTCCTGTCTTCCCTCCCGGTGAAGCTGAAAGGCTGAAGTGTTACTCCTCTTGAGCGAGGTCGAGTTTTTGGTTGCATCGTCCATCGAGCCTGAGAGTGCCAGATTGCAATCTGTGAGCTGGGAGCTGCTGGTTGCTTCCACGCTAGCAGAGGCGTTCATGTCGAGGGACAGACTGTTGAGGGCTTTCTCTAATATCGCTTGCAAGTATCTTCCTTGAGCCTCGATTCTCGTTTGCAGCTTCTTTTGTACCTGCCATGCGTGTTCTTTCCTTGAGAATCCGATGAGGTAACACTGCTGAATGGTGCCAGTGGTCTTTACCTCAAGTTGCTCGTTCATCTTCCTCTGCACTTCCAACTGATACCTTATTGCCTCAGCAAGTGGAGTTCCTCTGTGTGATTTCACAGATTAGTGGAGTGTGCACGACGCCTTGGCTGTACTCGTCTAATTCCACTCAATAAACAATGGTGAACTGTTTGAGGGAAGAACGAGGGACAAAACATACCCTACGGATTCTGGTCCTCCGAAGACACTGCTATCAGCGGAATAGCTCGTGTCGGCTGGGTTGCTTCCTGTACTCATAGAACCCCAATTCGGAACAAGAAATTGTATACCCAGTTTGCAATGCATCCTTGACTAAGGGGTGTGTGTGTATATATAATATATATACCTTTGCTGGAGGTTTCCGCCTTCGTCTCTCGTCCAGTTTGCCTTCCGAGTCTATATTTCTGTAGCAAATGCAGGCTGAGATCAATAAAGGAACACAAGTTTGAGCAAAAGAAGAGCGGAAGAAGATGAAACAAGGATTTTGGAACGGATAGATCAATCAACAGAACCTGCAAGTGACTCTTCAGATGGTACAGCGTCAATCCCTTCATGCCCATTAATCTAAGCACCGATTTCGGTGTCGCCTCTGCAGAAATTTTCACGTCGGCGGGCGATCAGGAACGACAAAGCGGCACCGGTGCCAAATGCTATATGATCATGAATCAGCTCGAAAACACACAGTAATAATTGAATAATCTGACCAGATGCAGTACTTGAATTGGGCTGCTTAACTCAATCAGGCTAAGAATCAGTCTTTAAAGACGTTCTCTACCACAGTGATGATGCTAAGAATCAGAAGCTGTGACATGGAGGTGTATTATGTCCTAATCCTGCCTGAACAGGATCAGAGGAGTACTTACTGTCTGGTCCACCGAGCTTGGCGACGGCGTCCACAAACCGGTCATGGAGTTCGGGCGTCCATCTCAGTCGATGCTTGGGATCTCTCGACAGCGTCGCCCCTGCAGCTTCGTAGGCTGATGCTTCTGCTCCTGCCGATCGCGTGCGGTGGTGCCTCATCATCCCATCCTCGAACCTCATGACGAATGTATGCGAGTGTGTTCGTGTGGAGAATAGGGAGTGAGAGAGCAGAAGAACTCCCGGAGGATTCTCGGCGACGAATCTGACAACCCGCAACACGATAAGAGAAGCGAAGAAAGAAATGAAAGCAGTATAAAGACATCAAAAGTCTTTCCCTTTCACGAGTGAGAGATGTCGACTTCGTCCACCGCACCGAGGGATTCGGATATTCCACTGCACCGCGGAGCACGTCAACACCAGCGGAAAAGGAGAGATTTTGGCGCTTGGCCCCCGAGAACGTCGGTAGCTACGGCGATCCCGCGGAGGAGCACAAGCGAGAGCACGTGAGGCGGGCGCCGCGTGCGGACGGCAGAGACGGGGGCGGCACATTCGCCGCCGAGACCGGGAAGTGGAAGATTCGTGCCGCCATGCACCCGAGCGCGCCATGTCGGCGTGGGCCCGCGAGGGCCCTTTGCGGAAAGCAAGGCGACGTCTTTGGCGGGGCTGGGAATATTCTATTCCCCCTCCCTCGTCGTCGTCACCAGTCGGCGCCATCCTCTGCAGCCTTTGATCAGTCTCCTTTCTCCCTTCTCCAGCGTTTGTTTTCGCTGGCCACCGAACAGTTGTGGGAGGTCCCACTCCAATCATGAAGTATGTTGATCGTGTCATATGTCAGCGAACCTGCTCATGGGGCCATAGTAGATCAGTGGATGAGATCACACTGGAAAACAGATCATGATGAACAATAACGACATACGAAGCTAAAAAGATTAAGACAGTTGTTCTCTCGTGTGGAGAGGGGGAGGAAAAAGATAAAGAGGCAAATTGAACCAAGTAAAGGCATGGAATGAGGAGAGTTGTCCCAATAATATCGGGTAAAGTTTATGTAATATGTCAGCATTACAATTCAATCATGTCACGTAGATGATCAATAGGCTCTCTCTCTCTCTCTCTCGAGCTGTGTAAGATATTTCCAACACTCCACTGAGACTTACAATCCAATCTTAACCCTAAGGAACACACTACTTGTTTCATCTTTGGATCATGCACTCATATTAAACACCCTTTGAAAGCCTTCCGCAAAGCAGCTTCATCCAAGTTTCTACCTATGAACACAAGTTTGTTGATCCTCTTTTCATCTGGTCCCCATGGTTTGGCAGGACATCCATCCAACATAGAATGCACCCCCTGAGATACGTACAACGAACAGAAATTATGACGATAGCAGATAAGAAACAGCTGGGCAAAGTTGTTTTAAGTGGCAACCCAGAAACAGCTGGGCAAAGTTGTTCCAAGTGGCAACCGAGAAAATTAACATATGGTATCGCATCTGCAAGCGCGGATAGATTAGGATGCAGGGTAGGAAGCAAGAGATCCAAGTACCTGAAAGACAAATCGACCGGTAGAGTCATTTACAGATACAACACCTTTCATCCTGTACAAGTCTTCCCCTTTTTCATCAACAAGTCTCTCAAGCCAATCGTTAACCTAAGAGTTGAATTAGTTAGCAATCACAACTTCATGTTCACTTTTCAACAGACAGATAATTCATATGTACTTCAGCAAGATTGATGCAGAAAGATCAAGAACTGAAGCAAAAAGCAAGTCAAAGAAACAGGAGTTATTGTTTTTAACTAGTTTAAAACAAATAAATACTGAAATCCTCTGCATACATAGAGATATAGTTAACATACAGCAAGAGATTAAAAGCTACCTCATCGAGATCCAGGGTCCCCTCAGAAACTATACTGATGCTGGTCACAGATGAATCATGCACATGGTCATGATGATGTCCCCCATGTTCCCCATGGTGATCTGGAAGAAGAAAACCCGACAAGAAACCATCACAAACAACCAATGCGCTACAGGTTCTAGCAGCTGACTCAAGTAAAAGAAAAAGAAAAACAATTACTTCACATCGCATCACACAAACATTAAGTATTGTTTTCATGCTTTCCAATGACTTCAGTTAATCTTTACCCAGAACGTCTACATGAGAAACTTGGTGATGATGGGCCATGGCCTTTAATCAATTTGCCCAGCCAAATATTGAGAGATCTTTGGAAAATAAGTGTTCATAGTATTCATAGCTTCTTTTATCTTTACCAAGCAACTGAATCAACAACATTATAGCAGAGAGAATAATTTCCAAAAGTGAAACCTATATGCCAGATAAAGAACATGCAGAATAGCAAATGACACTTATATCACGACTACCTTTAAGGTTATGTTTCTATGATTATGAAATGACGATGACTATTAGAAATTAGTGCCCCAGAGTTTCCACATGACCTCTATGCTCTTCTTCTACTAATATGTGACTATCTTGTAGCTCGTTTCAAAATACAGTCATAACCAAAGTTTTCATTATTACATAAAAAAGGCACTACCATGTCCATTTCCACAATGATGACCCTTGTCATGGCTGGCTTCCACTTGAACATCAGTCTCAATTCTGCAAAAATATGAAAACTCAAAACCTCCTAGCTAAATGAAACCATATAATTAGCAAGCCAACAGCAGATAAGCTAAACTTCAGAAAGCTATCAATTCAAGGACAACTGATTTATATAGAGACACCTGTCTAAATCATATCCACCAATTCCCAGAACAAAATCCATATCCACAATGCTGTGTTTGGCTTGTTTAATTTGTGCCATCCCATTTATAAGCTGCAACAGTTACAAATGACATCATTATATTAAAAGTATTACACATTAAGCTAGCTGGAGAAAGTTTTGTTCATGAACAAAATTTACCTTGATTCTGTTAGTTAGTGCATCCAGTTCAGCCTCATTTACCAAATCTGTCTGCAAAAGCAAGAATAAATTCAGGAAAAAGCTAAAACATCTTTGATGGCTAGCTAAATGAAGAAAGTAGCTTATCAGCTAAAATACGATTACCTTATTCAATATAATGCGGTCTGCATATGCAACTTGTTCTACTGCCTCATTTACGACCCACCTTGGTTTCACTTCATCCAAATGTCGCATAGCATGCTTACAATCTACCAAAGTGACAACACCATCAAGCTTCACATATCGTGCGACCAATTCATCTGAGCAGAAAGTTTCTATAACAGGAGAAGGTTTTGCAAGACCTGCACAAAAAAAAAAAAAAAAAAAAAAAAATATCAATATAAAAAAGAATGTACAGGTAAGCAACTAAGAACTTAATTATAGCTACATGATGTACTTAGAGCATGGAAACTGAGCAATGTGACCTGTGTATCAGCACAAGTCCATGTTCGTATGTCAGCCTAGAATGCTTCACGGGTTGATGCCACATGAAAATTTGGTGTTTTTATGGAATCAACCAGTCAGCATCTCACTTTGGAAACATATATTCTTTTATCATAGTCAAAAGGAAACTACACCTAAACTTCATCTAAACTGAAGCTATTCAGCATGATCGGTTAATGGTTATATAGAAGACAGGAAGCTTCTTTGAAGGGTCAACAGTAGCCTTCTCACTCCAATGCTGTCCTTATCTTTAACTTGATACACAGACTTCAAATCAAAATCACATAATGTAGTGTTTGTGAGATGTGCCCATGAAGTCGGTGAAATTTTTTTTACATAAAATGAACACGCAGCAAAAGAAAAAGAAAAGGAGATGAAGTAGATCATGACTACAGTAACCTTCTGAATCATATTGACTTCATAAGCATCAACAACCATGGTTAAGAATGAGCAGTAGCGTTAGGAATATCAAGTCCAGCAAGTGTGCATTAAGTAATTGCATCCTTATGCAGAGATGACCAGAGAAAAGGTAGAACAAAGTGCACGTAACTATTCATATATGGTAAGAATGACCTTGCATGGAATAACTTCACCTGTTGTCTCAATAACTATGTGATCGAACTTGTCCCGCTTGTTCTTCACCAACTTCAAAAGCATTTTAACCAAGTCTCCTCTCACAGTGCAACAGAGGCAACCATTGTTAACCATCACAATGTCCTCAGAAACAGAAGAATGGCTAGCAACCAATGAACTATCAATATCTACCTCCCCAAACTGCCAAGAGAGAAAAGACCATTCAGATATGTATGCTTAATTCCGAAACAACTATTCAAAAATGTAAATAAGTTACTTTACGAGCTTATTATCAATCATCCAATGCATAAAAAAAAAAAATCATCCAATGGGCTTCATTTCCATTAACACAATAAAGAGAAGTGCTGCGTGTAATGGCCAATAACAGCCTCACCAATGATTCAATAATTGACATGTTGCATTTGAAAAAATTCACAAGGTCGAGATAAGATTGCATTTTGTCCATGGAAATATGAGAAAACAATTACAAGAATGGCACATTCGTGCAGATCTTTTTTCTAACAATTCAAACAGTCTAGCATCTCAAATCTATTTATGAAGGTATTCAAGAAAGATTTTATCAAAAGCTTACTACAAAACTTAATAAAAGAGTTCACACAGAAACATGTTGAATAGAGAGCAAGATAAGAATAAATACCAAAAACCTAAAGATAATGCTAAATCACTGCCTAGACTAAAAACAGAGTTTACAGTGATTCAAGCAATCGGATTCTTTACAAATGAATACTTCACGATTTGAAAGTAGTATAACTATAGCTTTACAGCTTCCATAAGAATGTGATTACAAAATTGTACATACAAACAACTACAGATCCTTAGCAAGAATAAGAATCAATATTGGGAAAGTACTCAGATTCTGGACACAGTAAATCTCAGGATTACACTAACTCCTACAATAGAAAGACAATCGCATGCTTTCCCTAACTGCCAAACAGAAAGACAGATACAGATTCCTGCATAGACCTTGAGATGCAATATCATGAATGGAAATCAATGAAAAAACCCTTAACCCCGATGATTAGGACTGGTGATGACAAATGATGGCTTCTCAAATACAAAAAAGGTAAGATTTAAGAAATACAAGCCTGAAAAGGGTCTAAAAGAAAAACCAGCTATCTGCATTTACAAGTAAATATAACAGATGTTGACTATCTAAAGAACAAACTACAGTTAGATTTAATGTTTGACCACTGTGGTAATGATAAGAGTCAAACAAACAATTAGAAGCTTATACAGATGAGGGTACAGGGATGTAAAAGAGAAGAAAACCTGAACACAGGATTGGAATGTCACAAGGCCGATAATGTGAAAGAACTTCAGGATGAGGTTAAGGGCAATGGTAGGATAAACAGTAAAAGATATGACACCCATAGAAGTCAATGATGATTTGTTTAAGTTTTTGCCACAAAGATTCAGTGTTCCGAATGGAGCATTGCTGAAGATATATTGTTGGGAGAAATTTAAATGTCAAAAGAAAATGAACTTTTTGAATAAGTAACATTAATATTTCCATGAAAAAGAAATGACATCAATACCAAGTTGTTTGTCACAAAAACTATGAATTTATTTATATGATTGAAACAAAAGAACAATGAGATCGAAAAGAATAATGGAAGTCAATTTATATGTAGATAGTATTGAAGAGAAAAATGTAGAAACTTTTAATACCTCATTCTCAATGACAGCAATCCTCTTCCCATGTTGTGAGGTCAAAATGTGATTCAGTAGAGTTGTCTGCATTTATTGACAACAACTTCAACTGATAGGTATTTCGTAGCTACAGCAAGAGAAAAACAACTATAGAATATAACAAGATTCATATACTGTCACAAAGCCACTGCAAAACAAAAATTACTTTTCTTAGTGTTCAAATTGACAAGATAGAGGCCCTAAGGCAACATTGGATTACTCTGGTGTCATTTACAATTGTGCCTTCGATCAATTGTACTCAGAAAAAGGTGTCATGCTTTTCCCAAAAGCATAATTTGCAAGATACTTGAAGGAAAATGTAACAGATTTCATTCCTCAAGAATCTCATTGAAAAGTTGAGTTACTGGGATCAAGACCTAAGCCCTTTAGATAAAAACAAGAAAGCATCAAGATTAGCTAGTTGAGTTCTAATGTAACTCAGTTTTCACTATTTAACCGAGCCACTATGTATCCCTTCAAAAATTAATAAAAGAAAAACTTTTCTGAGTTTGTGACAGCAAACCACTCTCCAGCTTCCCCACAGACCCATAAACGACAACATTAGATATTGAGAAATAAAAGGAAAGAGGGAGCTGACCTTCCCGGAGCCGAGGAATCCAGTGATCACGGTGGCAGGAACTCTGATATCGATGTCGAGCGCAGAGGATACGGCCTCGGCGAGGTCCAGCCGCGGAGAGGAGGCGGAGACCATGAACCTCGAAAAGGGCGGGAAGATGCCACGACGATAGAAGGGGCGGGAGCTGCGGGAAACGACGGAGTGAAGAGCTCGGAGGCATCCGGAGACGCCGGCTGCGGAGGGGATGGAATCGACCCGAGAGGGAGGGGAACGCAACAAGTGATGGCTCAGGGTTTTGGATGCTCGCGGGATCAGAAACCTCACCGCCATGTCACACGCGATAAGCCCTCCGGTAGGGTTTCTCGGTAGAGCCGAGAAGAGTGGGAACACTGGAGTTATGTACCAATACAATACGCCTCCAGAGAAACCAATCTTAAACTGGCCGAGCGGATGGATGCATACACGCGGCTATGCCACATATAATCTTCAATGCGAACGGCATAACACATCATGTCGCGAGCCGAGCATGCGAAACTATGGCGCCGCATACATGTATGATGTGGTTGAGTCATAACCATGAGTTGGTCACATGTATCAGCATGCTAAGCGTCGTTGGCATAAATAAGTCATGTGGACACGGTTTAGTGCTGTAAGTTCTTTAGGCATGTGCGTCTCGGTTTAATTACTGCGGCCAATCAACGGACCGAACACCGACAACCCCGCCGATGCGGCGGATGTCACGAATCCACGAACGTCCATCCGTCCGTCCGATTCCAATCCGACGGACGTCCTCTGGCGTAGGACAAATCTGGTCCGCTCCATCTCCATCTTCCATCGCCCGGTCGTGATGCCAACCGAGTAAACCCGGTCGAAAACCCACGGGGATTCCTATTTGTATGTTTAATTATTCTTAATCTACAATTATCGAAGCAGCAGAGAGCAGAGAATTAAAGAGCGGTCTCCGAAGGTCGTCGTCACCTTCTTCCCCCATTTACTATTTTGAATTTAATTAAATTATCATTCCATCTTTCTTAGGAGAACAAGAGAATAAGAAGTAAAAGGAAAATAACAAGGCAGGACGAAAGAGAGCGAGAGAGAGAGAGAGAGAGAGAGAGAGAGAGGAGGGAGGGGAGAGA